TCAGGGGCAAGATGGTGGTGTATGCGGTGAGCACGGGCATCTGGGGGTATGGGCCGGCCAGTGGGCTTGTGGCACCGGTGGTGACCTCCTGTCCCTGTCCCCCAGGGTGGCACGTCACGGGCGGGCAGCACAGAGCCCACACCCTCCACCCGCCTCTTCCAAGTGCACGGCACCAACGAGTACAACACCAAGGCCTTCGAGGTGCCTGTCCGCGCCTCCTCCCTCAACTCCAATGATGTCTTTGTGCTCAAAACCCCCAGCTGCTGCTACCTCTGGTATGGGAAGGTGAGTACTGCTGGGCACTGGCATGAGTGCTGCCACCTTCAAGACAACTGTCCTCACCTCTTCTTCCTCCTCTTTGGCCTGGGCCAGTGATGGAGCAGCTGTGCTTGCTTGGCAGGGCTGCAGCGGCGATGAACGTGAGATGGCCAAGACTGTGGCTGACATAATCTCCAAGATGGAGAAGCCAGTGGTTGCAGAAGGACAGGAGCCACCTGAGTTCTGGCTGGCTCTGGGGGGCAAGTCCCAATATGCCAGTAACAAGAGGTACCTGTCCTGTCCCTAGCCATGCCCAGGGGTAAGATGGGCCGCCAGTCCCCAAGCAGGGTGAGCCTCATTCCCATGACGTTGACCCCTCTCAGGCTGCAGGAGGAGAACCCCTCCGTGCCCCCTCGACTCTTTGAGTGCTCCAACAAGACAGGCACCTTCTTGGCCACAGAGATCATAGACTTCACCCAGGATGACCTGGAGGAGAGTGATGTTTACCTACTGGACACCTGGGACCAGGTGAGCTGGGGGAGCATGGAGCAGGGGACAGACCTTTGATCCCACAAGTTGATGTTCCTGCGGTTGGAGGACCTGCATCAGCCACAGTTGGTGGGATGGGAGGCTGGAAATGTGCCTATATGTGGTCCCACAATGCTTTTTCCAGCCTTCTTGTTCCAGGGAATGCTGAGGATGGACTCCCAGTGTCCTTCCTCATGGACAGAGCTCATGTGCCTCCAACCATGGCCCCAGAGGGCTCCGTCTCACCCCAGTGGTGGACCCAGTAATTTTCTCGCAGGTTTTCCTCTGGATTGGGAAAGATGCCAATGAGTCAGAGAAGGAGGCGGCAGCAGTGATGGCACAGGAGTACCTGCGGAGCCACCCCAGCGGGCGTGACCTTGACACCCCCATCATCGTGGTGAAGCAGGGCTATGAGCCCCCCACCTTCACCGGCTGGTTCCTGGCCTGGGACCCTCTCAACTGGGACGTGAGTCATGGCAGGGGGAGAGGTTTGAAAGACCAGGGAGTCCCTTTGCAGAAGGGAGTAGATGTGGGTCTGGCCCCAGGAGCATCTCCAGGGGGTGGGCAGGAGCTTGCCTGACCCCTGTGCATGCTGAGGGGCTGAGCACTTTTGTTTCCTTTCCAGGACAAGAAATCCTACGAGACACTGAGAGCTGAGCTGGGTGATGAGAGCAGCCTTGGGCAGCTCACCTCAGTAAGTGGCACAAGGACAAAGGCAGCTGGGCTGGGTGGGACACAGAAAACCCTCCCATCCCCTGGGCCAGTGACAGGAGGGGCTGCAAGGACAGATCCTCAGTGAGCACACCTGGAGCCAGCCTGGTGCCTCCACCCCTGGGCCAGGCCCTGATGTGACTCTGCACCCCCCATTCAGGTGATCACATCCAGGGAAGAGGTCTTCACTGCCACCACCACCCTTGTGCCCACCAAACTGGAGACCTTCCCCTTGGATGTGCTGGTGAACACCTCTGCTGATGACCTGCCCCGGGGTGTGGATCCCAGCAGGAAGGAGGTAAGATGAGGCCAGGGGGCTGCTGGAGGGGGAGACAGGGAAAGCCCCTCCCAGTTCTTCAGCTCAGCCTCCTCTCTTTCTCTGGCCCCAGGACCACCTCTCTGATGCAGACTTTCAGGCTGTTTTTGGCATGAGCCGCTCTGCCTTCAGCAGCCTGCCCTTGTGGAAACAACAGAAGCTCAAGAAGGACAATGGACTCTTCTAGGGCAGGAGCCTGGGCACAGAAACAATCCCAGCTCTTTAGGAAATAAAATAAGTATGAAAAATAGGGCTGTGGTCTCTTCTCTCCAACCCCAAGGCTCAGCTCCAGGTGTGGGGGTTATTTGTTTCAGGGCTGGCACAGACACAGGTCTTGACTGGGCACCGCCAGCACAGGGGAGGATCCTCAACTCCTTTTCCTCGAGGCCTTCCTTTGTCCTGGCTGTGCTCAGAGGTGATGCACAGGCTGGGCATGCTCAAGGTGCCAGGACTCTCCCATCCGGGCACCTGCAGCTCCGGGCTAAAGGTCCAGTGTGCAGCTGGAGCCACTCCCTGCCTTATCACTGGAACTGCAGTAAACACGTGTGGTACCAAAGGTAAATGAGGGGACACCGTGCCTGCGGGGACAGACACCAGGGATCACTTGTCCTTGGACCCAGGAGGGGAGGAAGGTGTCTCCCTTCTACTGGGGCTCTACAGGGATGCTGAGAGGCACTGAGGTGTCCCCTCTCTCAGGGGGGCCAGGCTGGACATGTGCTGAGGGGCACTGAACACACACAGGATGTTCCCAGGCAACTGAGCAAAAGGAGAGGTGGAGGTGCAGTGCCCAGGAAGAGCCAGCAGAAATAAGATTCCAAATCAATAGAAGGTTAATAAAGAGGTTTTAATTTCACAAAAATCTATCTACACATCATTTAAAAACGGGCAGGGGGAACCCAAGAGCAAAAACTGTAAAGAATAGAGAGGAACAGGTCTGCTAAAACACAGAGAAAAGCACTGCTCCACATCAACAGTGTAAAGAACCAGAAAGTCAGGGTGCAGGCAGAAGCCAGTGGGAGGCAAGGCTGGAGTGTGGCAGCAAACCACGTGGACAGCAGCTGCCAGGGGTCCTGCACCCCTTTTTCTCTTTGGCGGGCAATTACAGGGATAATTAGCTCCATTAAAACAAAGCAGATGAGTTATTCCCAGCCCCACGGTGTTCCCCACCTGCCAGGGTGAACTGAAGCAGGAAGTGCTGAGCTGGCAATCAGCACTTCCCTTCCTCGATGCAGGACGGGCAGGAAGATGCACGGCTGATCTTATCTGTGCTGCACTGAGCAGGGGAAGGCCAGGCCGAGGCCACAGGTGCTGCAGAGCTCCTCCCATCAGTCCCACTCTGCTGCTCCGGCTGGAAGGCAGTCCTTGCTCTGCAAAGGCTCTGGGTGCAGCCCTGCTGGCCCCCCAGGGACCCGCACACGAGCTCCAGTTCAGTGACACCAAAGCTCTGCCCCTCTCAGATTAGGGGTGTAAATCAAGAGCAAATTATCGCAGTCAGACAATGAAGCGACGAAAGGAACAGAGGGATGGAAGTTCCTTGAATTTCTGTGCTGAATCACACTTGTACTATACTAGGTTGATTCAGAAGTGGGTAAATGTTTAACTGAGGAAGAGCTAGTACATGTTCAGGGCCCACAAGTAAGCTTCACCTACCTATACCCAAGGACAGGTATCCCATATGGAAGGGCCAACCTTACCGAACTTGCTGCTGCAACAGCGTGAGCAGTGGGAATGACACAACTGGTGGGCAGCACATCTCTTGAGAATTACACACCTGTCATCCTCCCCCCTGCTTTTGGGCAGGGAAAAAGCTGGCTTCTGCAAGGAAGGGGCTCTGGGGACACTCCTGCCCGGGTGAAGGTGCAACTGAGCTGCCATATGCCAAACAAAAAAGCTTAAATTATAGTATATGTCTCCAAATTCTTAATGACTAGAATAACAAGCAAGAACTTCTCATAACACAAGGAACACTGTTTTCAAGCACCAGCTTTTTCACCTTGATCCAAACAAAACTGGTTTTAAACAAAAGTTACTGCACTGAAAAATCAGGCTATGTTTGCTTTTATTATAAATTAACTGGAGTGCAGCGCCTTGTAAAAACAACCTTGCCACCCAAAAAAGCAGAGCTGACTTCTGATACTACAGGAATACCAGTTATTTACAGCACAAGCATAGGATGTGCTTGGGGAAAACAGGTTTGCCCTCTGGACGGAGCAGTCCATCACACTCGCAGGGCAATCAGTTAAAGGACAACTCCCGTGTCACCACCTCTTCCCGTTGCCCAGAATTCAACCAAAATCAGTTCTGACAATAGAAAAGTATAATGCTTTGTAATAAATTAACACACACCCCCCTCGGGCTGCAGCTCACCAGATAAACACTCTGGCATGCCTGCAGCCCAGCCTTTGCTGCTGGCTCAGAGACCAGGAAGATGCACTGTGCCCAGGGCCCCTGGGCTCGCCCCACCTGGGCACTGGGAGGGAGGTCAGTCTTCACTGCACCACGGTCCCCAAGTGCTCGGGGTGGGGAGGACACCCACGCTGTCACTTGCTGCTGTGCACACAAGTGGGAAGAGTCCCCTGAGGGCACTGACACACCCTGCTGGGATAAACTCCAGTGTGGAAGTGCCCGTGAAAGGTGCCTGCTGTCTCCTAAATCGATGGTTTTGTCTGCTTTGCTGCAGCCAATTTATTCCTGAGAAACTCCTAATGATAGTTTAAAAAACTCACAAACTATCTCAACGGCAAAAAAAGTGATTTTCTTCCTTTTTTTTCCTTAAAGAAGTCTTTCATCTCTAAAACTCAGGCTGCAAAAATCAGAACTAGAGGCCAAAACAAGAGCAACTACTTTGCTTACAGCAATAACTTCTCTGAAATGAGTAAATGTCAGTGAAAGGAAACATCTGTCCCTCCTTAATTAGTGCAAAGGTGCTGAAAAAAAAATGAACTTAATAGGCTTCTCCCACCACTGCTGAAACAAGCTATAAAAGGAGCATCATGCTTCTAAACCCAGCAGATAGCATCCCTTCTTCCTAACATGTTCTGTTAATGCTGAGCAAGGGCCTTCTGAAAGCTTTCCACCTGGTTAATTTCACAGTTTGAACACTCTTGCACTCCTCAAAGAGGAGAACTGAGACATGGCTGCAGAACAAAGCCTCTTACCCTGGGGTAACACAAGACCATGGCAAGACCACGGCAAGACCACGGTTCAGCTCAAGTGCCAGGTGCTGCACAGGAAGGGTAATGCCAGAACATTCTTTCCCTCCCAGAAGTGTTGCTCACCTCCTGGCACTGCTCTGTCTGCTCCAGGCACTCAGCTCTCCCAGAGTCACATCGGAGCAGCCCTAATCAACACAACTCCAGTGTGAAACACAGCACACCCAACGAGAGACCTTGCCCCTCCAAACGGCACTGATGCAACAGCCTCATGGAGAAAATGCAATCAAATAATAGAACTTGTAAAACAAAAGAAATCACATATATAATCTCACATCTAAATGAGGATGACAGTGAATGGTGTTAAAAAAAAAAAACGAAACAACAGAGCTGCCACCAGGTATCAATACATTCCACAGCACCGACAGTTTGTTTCCTGGAACCGCAGGGAAATCGCAGCGCGCCTACAAACCCATGAATGTCACAACGCATCAGCTTTGAGTGATTCCAAAATGCCTGTGAGCCAGATGACTGGCAAGAGCCTGCTCAGTGATCTGGCTTTCCAGTGAGTATTACTAACACAACACACGCCAGGTTACAGTCTATTGCTTAAATTGCTCTTGGAGAAAAGAAACAAAAGCGCCAAGTGATATGTAAATCTTCGCCACTCACGTCTCACAGGTGAATGGGCTTTTAAAGTCGAGTCTCTTTTTGCACTATTTTTTAAACCAGTTTATGAGCAGCTGTAGTCTTGTGGCTTGTTACAACTCTTTAAGGCTCCATGCTGACAAAATCATTTGAGAAACATTGAAAATTTCACCACAGGAGGGTCGCTCTGGATGTCAAGGTTTAAACACAAAGTTCAGGCCCAGGACTTGCACAGATGGTTCAACAAACTGAGCGTCCCACATTTCTACCTTTTGTCTCATGTTTTGGCCCTGAGCTGTTTGTTACTCCTGCATGGCTGGCACAAGTTCAGAATCTTCCTTGCTCCTCAGGAGGAACAAGGTGTTTTACTCTTCACAGAGGCTGACGAACTGATCTTCCTACTTCCATGCTAAGTGGCTGTGCATTTTTTTCTGTTTCTAGTAACTCATCGAAGATATCTCTACAACAGAACAAAAGACCAACAGTGAAAATTTTGCACAACAAAAATTCACTACATAATATAGCCCTGAGGGAATCAGCAGCTGGATTTACTCCATAAACTCAAGCATTACAAATCCTGGCAAAGAGAGATGTCTAATCTGACATCTCCAAGCAGCAGCAACAACAGAAAAGGGGGATACAAACTTTCTTCAGTTTTGTGGGCCTGAAAACATTTCTACCAACAAACCCTATTTTGGCTATCCTGAGATGACCACGGCTGCAACAACACAACTGTTAGGAGCAGGGGTAAGAGCATTTATAAATATCACAGCACTTGAAAAAAAAAAAACAAACCCAAGCTCCATTATGATTCTGGTGTAATACATGCACTGAGACACTGAATCCCTTTCTTAAAGTACAGTTTAATGTATTTGTTAAAACACTATGTATTATTGACACACAATCCCACACCTCTGAACTCTGAACACTTAAATTTTGTCATTATGGAGACATTATTCATCCCAGCAGAGGACCAGAGGAAGAAGAGAAGCCCCCTTCCTCACAAGCAGCAGATAATTTCTAGGACCAGCATTCCCCAAGACACCTACTTGTGCATGTAGAAGAAGATGTATCCACTTCGGTCTCTGTCACACTGAACAGTGGTCTCCAGAGTTCTAGAGACTTCCAGGTCATTGTAGGTGAACCAGGACTGCTTCTTGATATCATAGACATCACTGATATAATGACCTTAACAACAGAATCGCAGAATGGTTTGGGTTGGAATGGAAGGGACCTCAAAGGTCATCCTGCTCCAAACTGCCTGCCATGGGCAGGGACACCTTCCACTACACCAGGCTGCCCAGAGCTTTATCCAGCCTGGCTTTGAGCACTTCTAGGAATGAGGCAGCCACAACTTCTCTGCACATCTTTCCATGCTGCACTTCAGCCAGTGAGCTGGTTAGCCAGGTACCCTGGTCCAGCCACCTATGTCAGATTTAAATACTAAAAGATCCTTAAGATCCTGGTCCCTCAATCAGCTGGTAACAAGCACAAGCAATTCTACAGAGCCCACCAGCTGTACATTCCTATGAGCCACACTCAGGCACCATGATATCCCCAACCTGCTCCCCCATCAGCAAGTCATGACAGAAGATTTGCTTTGCTGCCTGAATTCTTTCCTATAAATAATTATGCTATGGTGATTCTGTATTACAGATTTTTCAAGCTAGGTAAGAGATGAAGAATAAAATGTGGCATCTCTTACCTGAAGATGATGTGCTTCCAATATGGCTCACAATGCTGATGAGACGATAGGAGTGAGGAAGCTCTCCTGTCTGGGGAAAAAAAAAAAAAGTACAATTAAAGCTTTCAGGCATTCTTTTTTCCCCCCACATAGCTTAAGGACAAGATAAATTATACCTGAGATATCAACTTTGGCTAGTGTATTCAAAGCTGCAAACCAGTGAAGGATTACAGAAACAGACACACTGCTTCACACCAAACAAGGAGTCCTTCCAGAAGTGGGAAATGTGTATTTAATCTATCAGCAAGCCAATGAGCATGCCAAGGAGCCTCTCTGACCTCAGAACAGATGCTGACATGAGCTCTACACTGCAAAGTTTTCTAAACAACCATTTCCTGAGCAACTTCCACTGATGTCAGAATTAATCCAGCAAATAAACAGAAAAGCCAAAAAGGAACACCATGCTTACTTCTGAAATATCAAAGACATACCATTGATAATGGTACACAGATTCAACAGCTACAGGATATGTAGCCCAAATTCTTGTCCTGCACCTGTAATGTCAGAGGACAACATCCACTCTACATGCAGGAAACATGCTCTTTCTATTCAATGGCTTCTGACAATTTATTTTTTAATACTCTCTTGACCAGGAAATGTTACCTCTAGAATTCACTGACAATACTGTCAAAGAGAGTATCTTAGAGAAACTCAGAAGGCCTCCACAGCTTATTTTTAAATTTGCTTTTTTGGGTTTTGTTTGCTTTGGTTTGGGTTGGGTTTTCTTGGTAATTAAAATAACACAGTAAGACTTAAGTATAGAAATTTTCTATGTTTTCACTTTAGAATATAAATACCTTCCTAGCCTCTACACCTGCTCTGTAAAACTACCTTCAAGACTATAAAGAATAGCTATATTTCTCAGCTGGCTTTTGAAATCATGGATCACACCTCAGCATTTCTTTTCAGCTCTTCTGCTTCAGCTTCTGAATACTCCATGTCCAGAACATCCTCATTCCCAGAGTCTTCATCAGAGCCAACGCTGTCCAGGAGAGAGCTGTTAAACTCTGGATAGCAAGGAAACAATGGTAACTGCATGAGAAGCTGTGGACCACACAGGGATTTACAACAGGTTGAGGTATATCTACCCACATAAACAGGATAATAAAATTTCAAGCTTAATTTTTAGAGAAAACAAGGGGATACTGGAATTCCAAACAAAAGATCTTGCCCTTTTCCAACTTGTCAGAGCAACAGTTACGTATCTTGGAATTAATTTTAGCACCATCTCCCTCATACTTTTCCAAAAGGGCACTATGGCAATGACAAAAGAGCAGTTAACACCCAGGTGGCTCTGGAGCACCAGTGGGCTGCAGACAGGACAGACAGCAAAAGAAGGACAGCCAGTCTGGTCAGTGAGCTGAGAGTTCCTGCAACGAGAAGCTATGAATTACACTTTTAACTATAAGTTGCATGAACAAAGTGCATTTTTGAATTAAAACTGGCATCAAAATGCTACTGCTGGCAGCAGGCATCTTTTCATTGTTTTCAATGGTAAGAAGGCTGCTCACCACAGGAACTTCCAGTTTGCTTGGCTGAGCAAAATGCACGCAGCTTTCTGTAAAGAGCCGGAAGGCAGCACTGCTCCCTGTACATGCTGTTCCAAACTTCCTGGGGTTCTGCAGCTACCCAACTAATTTAAGATTTTGTACAGTTCTCATTAGGAGAAGTAGCTATGCTTTCACCAGTTAAATTAAAGCTGTGGAGTCCCGGGTGGATGAGAAGTTGAGATTAACAGGACACTGCTCAGGAATTTTCTCTCGTCTGTTTTCAAGAGACTATCACGCCAGCTGTGATGGAGTTGTTTTGCCAAAGAGATTCTCACACTGTTTGTCCTGTTAAATCATCAGTCACTGGATTAGTGTAATCTTCTTGGGAAGTTTACAGATGACTCCCTTACTTAACTGGGAACCCTTTGCTGCTGCTTTCCACACTCACTTGGGCCACAAACACAGCCACTTTGGCTGTGGATAGGTTTAAATCTTTTATCTCAGAAGGTTCTCCCATGGATCAGTATACTGATTAAAAGCCTGGGACCAAGGCCACTCACTTGGGCTGTAGGGTAGACTACAGCCTAGAAAACACAGCCACCTTGGTAGGTCTGTGCACGAAGCACCTGGCAGAGGAATTGCTCAAGGCCAGTGCACCAACAGTGCCAGGATGATTTACTGGTTCTGTGCTCTTGGCATCAATGGGATCCCTCACGAGACAAATGTGACCAGCTCTGCATTCAAGATGTTGTACATCTCCTTGAACAGCTGCTTCCTGATGCCTTACAAATGAGACAGTAGCAAGAAAAAGCTCATGTTTAAGCCAAGCAACTGCAAATCAAGGGGATGGAAGATCTCTAGCCTTGAATTCTTCCTGGATATCAATCAAGGAAAACTCAAGAAGGACTGGTCACTTAGTCTGTCAGAGCTCAGGGTGAGGGATGCCTAAGCAGCATTCAATTCCTCTTCAGGAGCTGACACAGGTTCATCCAGCAACAACTGAGGGCCTTTGAAAGGCCCTGAGCAACTACAAGTATCTTAACACAATACTTTATTATCCCTCCCTCTCCCTCTTTGGAGCAGGAATTTTCTCTCAGTTATGCTTTGCTCTGCCAGATTGTATGAAATCACTTGCATGCTAGCCTCACACAAATGTTAAACAGTGCCTGAGGAGGCCTACAGCACTGCCTGGACTTGGAGGAGACAGATAGCACATTTTGGGTTTCCTCCTTCATCCCCAAGAGCTATACCTTGCAGTGAGGTCAGTCCCCCTCCCATCCCATATCTGATAGAAACAGCACTGATTCATTTTTCCAGGCAAGGCTAGGGCATTTATTAATCAGTCCTAAAACAGCAATGGAAGTAACAAATAATCCTTATGTTCTGACTAGGGCTATTAGCATGCTGGCTTTGCTGGGAATGCAAAGTTCCAAGATCCACTGTGCTTTCTCTAAATTTATATTATTCATTAATGTATATTATATGTGTTGCTTAGAATATATTACACATATCTCTCTATATATCTCTATATCTAACTAAAAAGTCAAGAGACTGAAGTAATTTTTCAGCTTAAGTTTTTCCTGGCACTTGCTTTCACAACCAAGAACAAGAAAAACTGACCTCGAGCGCCAAACACAACAAAGCACACACCAAAAGAAAATGAATCCCAGCTGTCTTACTGACAGGCAGGAGCTGCACTCATACACACATATCAATTTTCTCTCAAAAGCAACATACAGGAAGAACTTAAATAAGTTTCACCTTGTAGACTTAATTCCGTGGCTCGTTTGAGGTCATCATCCTCTTTCTGTTCTCGTGCCTCCTGATGGGGAGAGAACAAAACTTAGCTCATTGAGACATTTCACTGTTTAAAATTCTTGTGGTGCTCTTTTTCCATTGAAACTGTGCTGCTCTGGTTTCTACAACAAACCTGACATTGTAAATTAAAGGTTCTGTGTGAAGGAATGTTTGCAACCACCGAGAGTCCAATGTTCCCGTGCAACAGAACCTGGGACAAACCTTCATTAAGGCTTGTCAAAGCTCCTGAAGTTTGGTATGCAGCAGAGCGAGTCTCCAGTAACACCAAATGCTTTCCCTGGATCATTAATTTGAAAAGCATCTGAATGAATTTGTAACCCTGTGCTCAGAAAAGCTGTCACTTACACACAAAGCTCCTCACACTTCAGCAAAATTTAGTCTGTTTCTGACCAAAGCCAGCTGAGGACACAGTCATTAAATCCTGACAGATTTTGCTATTTTTAAGCTATTTGAAAGTGGAGCCAGTGGTTGTATCTAACAGGTGCAATCCACAAAGGCAGGATGCAAAAAGACATCACTAAACAACCAGGTATTAAAAACATTACCATGAACAAGCAGCAAAGAAACCTCAAGTCAACAAACACATCAAATATTTGGATAATATCATGCCCCTATTCCTCCCACTACTCTTGAAAGCCCAGAGCTACAGCAAGCCAGTCAATAATATTTAATGAGCTGGCTTCTTAATTTAGGGTTTGAATGCTTTCAGCACACCTGAATGCAGCACCCCAACTATGTATTTCAAATCAAGATAACCACAGTAACTGCATTTCCATGCCCAAATCATTAGAATAGCAGATTTTTGCTTCAGAACTGTAGCAGAAACACACTCAAAGGGCAGTTTTACATTATTAGCATGAGGCCTTTTATCTCACTATTTCTAAAGGATTTGGGAATCTTTGTTAAACTACTCGGCATTGATGAATCAAAGCTACATCTGGCATGGAACATACCAGCACCTCATAATGAGTAATGGGAGAGAAAAAAACCCAAGAGCCATGGAAACATCAGATCTCATAAGGAAAACCATGACAGCTTTGGTATTAATAGAGAGCAGACAAGGGCACCTACTTAAAGGAAGATCTGGCTAAGTGTTTGCTTTATTCTCTGCTGCTTGGTTAAACTTGTAGAAATCAGTTACAGGTCTTGCAATTCAAGTGGAATACAGATAGTTAGCACACAACTCAAGAAACCCATTCTTTCCAAGCCTAATTTAATGGACTTGTTTTCAACTAAATTATTTGGGATCCTTTTTCCACTTTACTAACAGAGAAGGATCTCATAAATGCTCAGTTCCTACATTCTTCACCAAGCATCCCCTACTCTCTAGCACCAGAAACACACCTAGGATAGACACATCTTTAGCCTGACCTGACACAGCCATTCTTAGCCTTGGCTTTGAAACCTGCCTCTTTCACTAAGTCTTGACATGACACACTGCAAGAAACTGTCAGAGAAGCTAAAGGTGGGCTGGGATCTTGATGTCAGAGAGGAAGAGTTTAGTTGAGGTTATCATCATTTTTAATATAACGTGACAAACCAGTGCACAAAAGTGCATGGGGAACTCTGAGAAATCTGTAGATCTGTGATGTGATGCACAGGTTTCAAAGCACATTCAAAATGTGCCCAGATGTACCCAGTGTCATCACTCTACTGACACTGGAGCTAGAAGAAACCCAAACATTTTTCCATCTGGTTATGTCAAAAAAAAGCAGAATAATTCTTTTGCAGTTACTGCCTGAATGCAAGCTTCTCCTTTAGCTTTCAGGTAACCAGTGTTGGGGAAGACAACTTAAGAAAGCAAACTATTTCTTACTTGCTCTTGAAGGCTTTGAGCCAGCGCCTGCTGGAGTTCTTGTTCTTCCCTCTCTCTCTCCATATCGTACTGCTGCAGCCAGTCAACCTCCCCTTGGGAGCCTTCTGGAGTTTTGTTTTCCTTATTCTCATCAAAATCTTTAGTTATCTCAGTGAAATTGGCAGGACCTGAGGGATCACAAAGTACAGTTTATACTTTTCTGGGTCTTCTGTTTGTTGCCATCTAAGTCCTCTTTAAATCACCACAATCCTTGCAGCATAGTGACATCTATTGACAGGGAGCTCACCCGCCATAAAACACCCACACAAGAGTCAAATGGAAAAGCTCCAAAGTGCAATATCATACTCATTTTAACTGGTGCACAATGAACCATTTGATTAATCCCTGAACCTGTTCTCTTCTTAGCCTTTTATGTTCACTCAGAAACAGCAAGTTTAACTACAGAAGCCACACACCACTAGGTTTCTCCAGCCATGAAGCCGAATTTCTCTGTAAGAAAGCATGGATTGTAAAAATTTGCATTGCATATTAGACCTTGGAGTACTACAGATGAAGCCACAATAAAAGCCAAACCAAATGCAAGATGAAAAAAAGCACAAATCTCAAGCACTGTTTAAATGTGCTACCTTTTGCTTCAGCTAAGAGCTTCAATCTTGTGAGCACTATGTACAGCTTTAAAGCTGCATGAAGATGGTAACTTTTTAGTTCACCCTTGAAGTAAACACGAGGGCAGAAGTGCTTTACAGAACATCTGAAATGAACATTCATTCAGCTGCTGCTGCATACACTCCTGCAGATGCAGGACACTGATTCTTGTTTGCAACTAAGAAAGTGCAACATCTGCTCCAGCAGCTATCAGGCAGCAGCATGTGAAACTTCATGGTTTTGCCCTGTGCAGACTTCAACATCTGCTGATTAGTGATTAACAAGGATAATACAAGGCAGTCTCAGTATCTGTGAACCCTTAAACACAAGGCCAACAGCACCAGAACCATAATCCACCAGTCTAATCCCTTCAAGATGAAAAAAACCCAGAATGTATTACATGCGATTCGAAAACTTCCACTATAAGAAATACAGAACTTACATAAAACACACACTTTTTGCTTAAGAGTAACAAAAAAGCCTTCAAATAATTACATGTACTTTCCAAAGAAAACCTGGACAGAAATATGCTTATACGGTCACATTCTATCACTACTTTATTTCACAACACCATAAGCAACGTTGCTGTATAAAAAGGAGGGCACGAAGTAGGATGATCACATACATAATATTATTCTTATAGCCTTCCACCATCAAGGCTGTCAAGGGCTGTCCATTGAAAGAAATGTCATTTTTGGTAACAGTGGGGAGATATTCTGTTGTTAATGAACCTCCTGCCTCTTAGAGGACATGAGCACATTGTTGGTCTCTTTTTTCATGCTAGTGCAACTAAAAACCTGATGGAAAGCATGTAGCACACAATAAATGATAAACCACTTATATTTCCTTCAGCTGGCTAAAGGAAGACTCAACTTCCCCACACTGAGAACACCCAGGCTCCTCCTTGTACTTAAACATGTCTCTCTGTCAGAGGCCATAATTCACTTGAGCCTCTTAAGCTTAAAAGTCTACTCTCACATAAAAAGCTTTAGAAAAAAATACAGAGATATAGTTAAATTCATTACTAACTAGTGACAAAATAGCTGCATTTATGAAAGCATTCTACTCTTATGCCTTAGACTTGGAGTCAGTTCTAGACAAGGCCAAATATTAGGAAATTGAACTGTCTGGCACAGGAACCTGTGGAAGCATGTGTTAATCAAGAGAGGAAAAAAAAAAGGAAATTAACTTTGAATCATGGAGGTGACAGACTTACAAGAAAATACATTTTCACAGTTTGATGAATTAAATGCTTTATACATAGGGAAATTACAAAGTTTAAGCTCCTAAAACTCTGAGCAAGTCACAGATTCAGCAGTGCACTTGCAGCCAGTTCCTACCACCAGGAATGACTAACCTGATGTTATCAGTAACCTGCTTTAGCCCACCTGAGTCCAGTTAAGATGGTTGCTTTGCCTTACCTGAGTCTAATACTGTTTTGGGTTTCTCCATCTCCATAGATTCCAGGTTTTCTGGCAATTCCTGAATTTCATCATCTCCAAAACCAGTGTCTGGGCTGCTTGTGGGCTTATCTTCATCATGGCTCAGAGACAGAGAAGCTTCCCTTTTGCTAATCTCTAAGACAGCTGCTAGGAGCTCATCTTCGCTCATCCCATCAAAACCAGCATTACCCAGCTCGGGTTTATCTCCCTCCATTTTACTTCTTTTTGAACCCTAGAGATGAATGGAGTTATGATTAAGTGTTTGAATAAGCAGGTATACAACATCAGTTTCACATTTCCGTGGAGATTTATTTTTATTAACCCCAGGGAGTGGGAGCTTGGCACTGTCAACATTCAACATAGTTACATGAGACTCAAGGGAGAGACAGCCTTTATAGCTACACTTACTCCACAGAAAACTATTTAAGTATACACTACAACCAGTTTTTACAGGCTTTGTGGATTAACATACACAAGATAATTCTTAACTTCTCCTTCCTTTCCTTCAAAACATGTTTCCCCTTTAGGTTCTGATGAATTCTCAAGCCCCTGGCAAGTCAATGCTGAGATATAAGCAGGGAAACTGCAAGTTTGTTAACAAAGGATGAAGCAGCAACATGAGTGTAACTGAACTCAAATATAGGGATGGATGAACAGAAACTAAAATTGAGCTGGTATGAAGAGCAATTAAAATTAGGTTTTATGCTGCAGATTTGTCATATGAAACTGTGATGTGAGTAGAGGGAGGAGTGCAGGAGTTGCAAACCAAGTAAGAAAACAGTTGAACAGGGAAAGGGGGAATTATTCTTTCCCAAGGAGAACAGAATGACTTTCATTTGGAAGAAAAAAAAAAACACCTTAGTCTTAATCTCAATTTTCCTTTTTATAGTTCATTTACCTAAAGCTGATGCTCATCAACTCCTACACCACTGTAATTTGCAAATAATATAGTAATTTCAATCATTTTGATATTAACTGTTAATCAGGAAGTTAACCTCCATGTATGCATGTTTACACAATTACACTATTTATCATATGCTTAGAATTTCTTTTCCTATATTATGTTAAAATGGGGTAAGACAGTTTCTATTGAAATGTACTTATCCAGATCTTACTGCCAACTGCATTAGGATGGATCCCAGAACTTTGTTGAAATGAACAAAATCACATTTTTACTGCTGCTTTTTACTCAAATACAGCAAGCATTTTGTATTAAAACTGCCTTATCAAACAAGATTAGCACATGAATTAGCTAACTAAACTGCTTGTTCTAGACCTGTTGCCCTCCAAGAATTAGAAGTGCCAAATTTAAACCTCTCTCCTCACAGGTATTTATGCCCTGGATAAGTAAAGCAGAATACCTTTCTAGGCTTTCTGATTTCTCTCCCTGCACCTGTAGGCTGCCAACATCAAAACTGCTTTAGCTCTTCAGCAAGCCCTAGTTCCAGGCTCTCTGCCAACAACAACCACTAATTCAGTGGATGGACTTTAAAGACTTGGCAGCATCTGTGCATTATTTGAATACAACTTTTTTACTAGACATTATTTGCATAGATTTTAAATAGCTCAGGCTGTAAGACAGGCTGTTTTAAGTAAGCATTTTTAAGAAGTCCTTCAAATACTACTTCATCTGCAGAAGCAGAGATCACAGGAATTGCAGCTGTGCCCTGTTTAGCTGGACAAATGCTGTTTGCCCCTAGCATCCAGTGCCATACACAGATGCTATTCCAGCTGTTCTCCCACACAGCAGGGACATTTTGCAAGGAGTGCCTGGCAAGGGATGCACTTGCCAGACAAAGTGACCACCAAGCCTTTAATGCAACCCCATACACAGCTCTTTTGAGAATCATACCAAGAGAAATGGTGCAGCAACAGTACTGCCACCTCCAAAAAACCAGGACCAGGTCACCCAGGACAACACTGAGGTGGTCAGAGAACCTGGTTAATGGTAACACATGGCTGGCCAGGCCTGTGGCTGAGAAGTGGCCAATATGCATGGCCACAGAATAAAATAATTCATGTGGAATCATCACCACCAGTGTCTCTTTCCCACAACTGGCTGTAAAGCCTGTAATTAATTTGTTATTCAAATTAGTATGCTTTATTCCCACAATTTCTGCACTTACAGGGTTTGTGCAGTAGAAACTACCTACTCTTCCCCACAAACAAAACTCCAGGAAGTCAGGACAGCCTGAAATACCTTTTCTGAAAGGTACATAACAGGGACTTCAAAGACAAGCTTGTTTCCTTCCTCCAGCTGCAGCCAGGCATAGATGTGCCATGCAGAACAGCAGAAACAAGACCTTCAGCAAAGGGCTTTCTGTGCTTTCCCACAGCAATCCATTCCATCCCTACATATCCTGACCATCAGGAAGTGTTCCCTAATATTTAATCTAAAAATTACTGTCTGCAATTTAGTCTATTACTTCTTGTTCTATCTACCACAGGCACAGGAAACAGCTCAAGTGTTTCTATTAACTTCCTCCCTTTCCTTGAAGACACAAGCCTTGCTTACATTTTTCTTTAAACTAAAGACCAAACTGAAGACCACTTGCCTGGCTCTTTCTCTCAAAATCTTCCTTTCTAGATCTCTGACCATTCATGTTCCTCTCCTGTGGCCCTTCTCCAGTTAATCTATAACTCTTTTCAGTCCAGAGCCCAAAGATGGATACAGAACTCCAGCTAAAGCTCAATTCTGAGGAAAAAAGGAGGGTTACTTCACACAATGTGTATGGAGGCTATGGTTCTGTCTAGATACTTCTACTTTCAACCTGCCTGACCTTGTGATTGTCACTTTTCATGACCTTTCTGAAGGCCCACTGTTTTCCCAGCTGTTCCTATCCATTTATGGTCAATTAATCCTGCTAAGATTAGCACCTTTAGCCTGTTCCTACTGAACAACCTCTCCTATTTTTATGCAGTTTCTCAGATTTGTCAAGATCATTCTTATCTGTAGTTCTGAGCTTCATCAAACTGGCAGCTCTCCCTAGCTCTGGGTCTTCTACAAGTTTAATACTCAGTATCTGTCATTTATTAAATTCTGGGTGAGGATACTCCCTTGGTTTGATTTTCCCATCACATCAGAAACTGTAGATATGTTCCTCTTGTTACTACTGCTATTCATCCACATTTACACCTGTCCCTTAATATCATAATCAAGGCCACAAATCTCTCCTTGATTAAAATAATCCTATGAGCATTGTCAAAAACTTTAGTGAAGCAAAAGCTTTATACAAGCAGAGATGCAGGAAACTTGTCCTATGCACAAGGCCTGCAGTTCTCTCAACAGAAGAAAGTGGTACTGCAAGATAATCCTCTAAGCTGCTGCTATTCCCTTCTGGGTCATCATTTCTTCCCACACAACTCATCTACCTGCTAATACACTGGCCTGACAGGCAAAAAAAGTATCTTGGCAGCATTAACACTAGTCACAAGGAAAAGCTCAAAGGCAATTTGAAATTAACTGTGCCATTACACCAATGAACTTGGTCTCCTGACACTTCTGTGTCCGCCTACAAAGACTGTTAGCTTCAGATTCTAACAACATTTAAAAGCCACACTTGAAAGGGGACACAGATTGGATGTGCATGAAATTCTCTCAACTGAATATTTTGCTTAGCCCAACTTGTACTGGATCTAATTTAATCAAGGGCCTTACCTCATACTTTTATTATTGACAGCACATTATACTTCAGCCCAGGAACATTATTAGTGGAAGTTACCCAAAGGACTGACCAAACTGCTAAGCAGCTGGTATCCATAACCTGAAAACTCAAGTTCAATTGCAATGCAATTACTTCTGTTCCCTGTGGGAACCCAAAACAACTGTAGAGGGAGGTCAATTAGCAAAGCACTCCCTTCCGGCACTGCAGCGCTAATTAGGAGAAAAAAAACCTCATCTGACATCAATGTCACTCAGTTTATGCTAAAAAAAGCACACAGCAGACATGAGCACATACAGGATCTAGTACATGAAAGTTTGTGGGTTTTTCCCTTACCTTTTCTGGCTCATCTTGCAGTTGTTGCTGGTCTCTGCTCTGTATGTTACACAACCTTTGGCTATGGGCAACGGAGCGTTTCAATGGCTCATCATCGCTGTCAGAATCTACATAGAGTGCTGCAGAGCTCTTGGACTTGAAAGTGTATTTTCTGTAAATTAAAAACATGGCTATAGAACCTCACAGCATTGTAGCATCATACAAACATGTCTCAAAGTAACTGCTGAAGCATTGCTTTCACACTGCTCAACTGGGGAACAAACTGCAACAAGGGACCATGACAATTTATTAATATGGCAGTCAAGGTTTTCAGGAAGCTTTATTCTGCTGGGTTAACTGACATGTTTACTTGAAGCCTGCAATAACAGCTTACAAAGTTAAAAGTAGCTAAGTGTGTGGCTCTTGCTTTTAAGGCAAAGGATTCTGCACTTTATTACCTTGCAATCCCAGACTGAACTCATTTGAGACAAGGCCACATTACCACATAGAATTTGGCATAAATCATTTGACTTGAGTTTTTTAAGTTGGACATAGGGTTTGTCACAACATTATCCAGATATAAGAAGTACAAAAATGCACTAATTTTTCATTTTGCTGTTTGCTCTTCCATTAAGATAAATTCTTGCTTCTTTAGAACAGAAGACAAAGGAGTCTGGGGAAGTCACAATTTCTGTTTTATTAGTAAATCTGGTCTTTAAGCATCCCTCAATGCAAAACCATCCAGTGTGATATCACATTTTTCACAGTCTCAAAAACTGGCTGTCTCATCTTAGCAAATAAACTTAAGGAATCAACCACCTGCTCCCAAAACACCCATGTTGGCTCCATAGAGTCAGAACAAAGAGCTAGACTGCAGAAGTAGAAATCATTTTGCTTCTTAAACAAGGCAAATTGCACCACTGATGTTAATTTCAGCTACCATGCAATACCAATAAAACTCAGATATGAAAAAAGACAGTAGCTGAAATAATTTACAACATTAACACCAGAAAAGAACTAGAAAATCTAAAAATGCCTTGGAACCTATGCCACAAAACCCCAGGCCATTGGACAAGGACATTCCAGAGCTATAACTCACCTACAAGGTGTGGAAGTGCTTACAGTACAGGAATTCACCATCTGGGAGGCTTTCAATGGACGGGAACTATTAAAAGAATAAAATAATTTATTGCAGTAGTTACAGTCTTTAAAAAATAAGTTTACTTGTCTGCTATGCATGCAAATCCATGACCAAAAGAACAAGCAGAATACCATTATGTACTTGCTAATTGCTTAGATTTACAGTAATAACCTCATCACACTATAAATAAACAACAGTTGTTCAAAACCATGTATAATCCTTTAAACTTGATTCACTTCTTGGCAATGCACCCTCAGGGACCAGCTCACAAATTAAAGGCTCTTGGCTCCCATGTCAAGACAACCCATTGCTTTATATTTTATTCCCACCAACACTTGAGTTCCTGCTCCCAAACCACAGTCTCCTGCTCTTGTCTGGATCAGCCGGTTTTCTGGCATTTCCCACATCTTAATTTCTCCTGCCTTACCTAGATTCCTCTGAACCAACTTCCTGCTCCATTTAATCCTTTCATGGGCTCCTCAAAGTCCATCACTATCACTACACATCTATCAAACAGATGGTAGCCACTGCAGAAACCTTTTCTAATCTTCCCCCTAAACCAGGGCTGCTTCTCTCCAGCCTAGTTTCCCTTCCACTCCCTGGTCAATCACAATGGTTTTCATGATTGAAAAAAACTCAAAACTTTGGAAAGCTATTTCCAACCTATTTTCAAGTATTGCTGCTCTGGTTAGCATAAACCGTTTGTTGTGTTTGAGATTTCTACTGTTAAAACAAACTCATGGGAAACATCCACTTCCATCTCAGAACACCACTAAACATTTGGCAAAACACCTGCCACACTGCTGAACAGATGCACCAGATGTGTCCTAGCTCACTATGGATACCCTGCCTATGTCACTCAGCAGAGGCCACAAGAGACCTAAGGGTTTCTTGTTCCTCATTCTGCCACAAGCTTCCTATGTGACAACTGGCACATTTAATCTCTGCGTCTCAGGTCAGGCAGCTGTACAGATATAACAGTCTCAGAGAGAAGAAGAGAGTATTTTCAGCATCCAAAGTGCTCAGATACTACAGTGGGACAGGAAAGACAATGAGAAATGAATGACAGCACAAGAGGTGCAAGTGGAAATTAGCAGAAAAAGGCAGAATGTTTTGTCTTCTAAGCAGAGTTAGAGTGCTCTGAAGGGAAAGGTAATCTAGATTACTTTGCACTGACAGGCCTACATTTAAAAAATTACTGACAGAAGTGTTCTTAAAAAGAATATAAAGTTATTTTCAAGGACAGTGAAGAATATTATCTTACCAAATATATTCCCTAGATAATGCCCAACTGTCTCTTCCTACTGCTTCTATCATGCTTCCTTTCCAAACATGTTCTTATGACAGCAGCATTACAAGCCAGCAGCACACATCTGAAGCTGCATAACTGTAATGTTTCCTTGCCCAGACATCCTCTGGAGGAGATCTGACAAGTGCCTACCTTGTGACACACATGATTAACAGAGCAGGGACCAAAGCTGCACACTTACATGGCAGAATGGACGCTCCATCCCAGCGTCAGTGGCAGCCTGGTGCTTTCTGTGCAGTGGGAAAGCAGGGTTAGGTATCTGGGAATAACCACCTGCTGCCCCACTTTATGATTGAGAGACAATGCTACATTGAAGCTGTATCGTTTCAGATGAAGAATCAGGACCCTGAGAGAGATGAGAGAAGGACAAATGTTCATCTCAAGACAGAAGTCAAAGAAAACCTATTCAAAATCCAAGTAAGCCTTTTTTCCACAGGCATTCAACTGACCAAACCAGATTATTACTTTGGGTGGTAGGCAAATGCTGACCATCCCTAATCTGCAAGACACAGGTAATCACACACCCCCTGTTCATCATTCAACTTGTACAACATTAAAATTCCAGAATATATTTTCTATATGTGCTTCCTTCACATCCCAGAAATCCCAAGAAAAGGGGAAAACTTAGTCCTCCTTATGTAGTGATAGGGAGAAAGAAACAAGTACTGCTGAGGGTTTCCAAGGGCTTCTTTAGAGTAAAACCGAAGAACAGCATGGAGACTGACTGCAGGTGCACCTCTTTCACACACTGACCACTGCACATGCTGTCCTGCTCATTTTCCCAGCTTTACTCTTCAGGGGATTTTTGCTTGCACTTTTGTAACATGCTTCCAGGAAGGAGAGGAACAGGTGTCAGCATTTACCTGGGAAGCCTGTTGAACTTGTGTGTGACAACAGCAGACTTTCCATTGCACTTCTCACAGGAATACTCAATCTCCTCTGCCTGTTTAAGGGAGCAGAGAAATGACTTGTGGATCAAAAGAGAAATCAAACAGATCTCAACCAAAAATACACCACATCTGTTACACAAACTCTTCAAACAGCAGTAACCACTTAAAATTATAATCACCTTCAAGATGACATAGTAAGAGGACATTTAATAAGAGGACAGGTAGCAGGCCTTAAAATTTCACATCATATCCACTAACACAGGTGGAATTCTTCCTGCAAGTCTACTGAAGACCAGTGAATTAGCCACCATTATGACACAAAATAGCTTCCAAAGGGAGGGGACAATCTTGTGAGGGTAACAGTTTTCTCTCCCATACACAGGAACTTGTTTGTTGGGTTTTTTTTCCCCCTAATAATCTTCAGTGGATGTGGTGCCATGAAATTTTCTCCCTCTTGTTCAAAACCTCTGCTTTGTTCCTCAAAAGGTATCCTCATCTAAACTTACCAAGGGTATGCTACATGAGAGTAGAGTTGTGGACAGACATCAAAAGGGGAAGCATTCCTTTCCTGAAATTATATAACCTACAAACATTCCTACAGCGCTTTACCTTAAGTGAAGTCAAATTACATTAAAATTTTAGGATTTTTTTTAAATTGTAAGACCTCCACCAGCTTTTAGAAGAAAAAGCATGTCAGCTATTCTCTCTGTTGAAAGTATTATCTATACAGAGAGAAAAAAAAAATTGGCTGAAGATATGACAAAATACCACACCAATTCACAGACATACAGTCCATTTTCAGCTTTCAGAACCTTGACCTTGAAGCTTTATTTAGAAAGCAAGCATCCACATATTACAGCTATTTTTTTTTTAAATTATTGTACCTGCATGATTTTTTTCCTCCATGCTAATTAAGGCTTGTACACTAGCCCAGGAGAGGTAGCACTTCCTGAGTGATTATCCCAATGTGACAGCCTCTCTTCTCTCCTCTCTATTTTTGTTTACACCTCAACTCTTCCGTCACAAAATTGGGAAGTTTACCTATTTTACAGCAGTTAATTTCTGCACAGCATTTTACAATATAAACTTCCATATGCTGTTAATGGACAAACCTCAAAAAAGTTCAATGTTATCTCACATGCCTGCAAACCACTGTCATAGAAACTAATAATTAGCTGTACAATCAGAATTTCCATATGGTGCATGACCTGCACACACTCCACAATGCATAAACCCCCCCTCAAAGTACATACCCGAAAAAAGAGGTCAAGAGAATCCTGGATGGATCGGGAAGGAAGGAATTTCTTCCTTCGAGGAAGGTCAATGGAGAGGTCATTAAACTGTTCTCGTTTAGTGACTGTTTCACCACACCTAAAAAAGAAACATGCTCTTGCAAGCCTGATGAAAGAGAAACTTAAAACTAACAAATACTTTTGTGGTTTAGGGTAAAGTGACTTCCCAGTTCATCCTATTTTTACTCATCAAAATGGAACTGTTTGATGCTGAGGACAAAGTTGGAACTTGCAATTTCTTTTCGATGCTTTAGAAGTTAAAACATTTGTTTAAGGGTAAGAACAAAAATGCACAGATTGCTTTGGAGAGGCAAATGATCAGGTATAGAGGAAATCAAAGCAATTGCTATAGCTGAACACATCTGCTGCACAGGTCACACACAATGAATGCCCAAACATATTGGTTGACATCTTTTTCTGCAAGAATGTAGAGAGACAGAAGAAAATGCCATTCCCTGGATGCCCTTAGAAAGATCAAATTAAAAACATGGCATCCCCCTTTCCTTTTTTTAAGAGGAAACATTACTTGGCTGAAACCCCCTTTTCTCTCTATTCCCATACAATTGGTACACACAGAGCAAAGCACAAAGGCTTTCCATTGGAAATGCAATGAAGAACTATGTAGTATGACACTGTTTAAAGAAGGCCTGCAGCAGCAGACAGTGTGTGAAGTTTACAACATTTCTAGACAAGAGAGTATTCTTCTAAATATCTAGCCTTGGATAAAACATAGTTCTTAGTTGTGGTTACTGCAGGTGAAGTCATGTGAGATGGGAACACTTCCTAAGTCTTGTAAGGTAAGTGTGAAAAAAGCTGTCAAGCACACTTACATTTTGCAAATGATAGAATGCTGAACCTCAAACTCTAAGTTACTGATAACTGGACATGTATAAACTTTGGTGGCTGAGAGGTCATCAGAAGCACGTCCTGGTGAGTTATCCTCATTAGGGATTGGTTCACTCTTCCAAGTTTTATTTAACTTTTCCATGTCTTCCTTCAGCTGATCCAGACACTGGCTCAAGAACTCATGTGCATCCTAGAAACAGGGCAAATGCAATGAAATGGCTTTGTATAACTTCATTCAGTATTTTTCTCAAACACACACAGAGTGGGGAATTATGTTCAGTTCACTGCATTCAGTAATACTGAGGCAGTTCTGCTCTAACAATCATTGCCATTCAATCAAAAGCCACTGTCAAACACAGCTGAAGCTTGACAGGTGTTCAATACAGTCCAAGCACTGGGCAAACTGCACATAACTGTTTCCAGACACTGATACTTACATTCTGCATGTACCCAGAAAATCTCTCTGCAGTAGCTGAAATGGCACTTTTCACCTTCTTGAGCAGCTCTTTCTTAACCTCAGGGCTGCAGACATCTTTTTTAGCAAGCAGATGGGCAAAACGTCTGCAGAAGTCAAGGCAATGAAACACTGGTTGGTTTTCCAGGACTTTAGAGAAACATAATAGAACTCATACCTTATTTTAAGAGTTCCTAAAAGCTTCTGTCCTGTGATAAGTGGTTCAGGGGTTCTGTATGAAAATATCCCACATATAATTAACCTTTTCCATTTCAAGTATTTTGAGATCTCATTTGAAGCCATCATCAAACAGCACTCAAATGAACACAAAAACCCAATCCACAATCTTTTAAAGTAAAATGAAAAGCCTTATAAAGCTCTAAAAATGTATTTCTCCTCTTTTGCAATGAGGAAAAAACCTCATAATGCTTTTTAAAAAACATTTGTACTGATAGGAAATATGATATCACACGGTATCAAAATAAGCAATACAAAATCACTAAATTCAACTTGAATGATCAGAACGGTTTCTATTTATGTTTTATTTTTAAACTTCCACTCATTTTCAAGCCTTACATCTTCCAGCAGTAAAAACATTTTAACAGAGAAAAAGTTGTAGCAAAAAGAGCCATGAGGAGTTCCTTGGTTCATGCTAGTGTTTCTGCCAGCTTTGCTACAGAACTTTTGAAATTAACTTTACTTGTGCCTCTGAGCTACTGTGATTTAGTTATCTTTTACAACTGCTTTACAATTTCACAGGACATACACACCAAATATACTCCAAGCACAAGTTTTGGTCATGCTACATACATAAGAAGGTGACAGGAAGATGTCACATCGCATGACACAAAAAACCCCCAACCCAAAGCAGGGAAAACCTGTATAATCCCATTGCATCCCAAACCAACAACTCATACTCAGTTAACCCCAAGAATCTGATCAGTTTATTGCAGCTTGACAAGTTTCTGCTACCCTGCTGAACTCCAAGAACAGCATGTGCTGTCCTGGCCCTCTCAGCTGCTCGGTGAAGCACGTTAGGAAACCACAGCACAGTTGATAATCAATCACTGATCAACCAAAAAAAGAGTCACCAGGTTAGATGGTATAGCCAAACCAAGAGAAGACAAAGTAGATGCTTTGAGTATCAACTCTGACTTGTACAGGATGACACACTGCCCATTAGGTATATGGAGCACAACCTTCAGAGGTCTTTCTATAAAAATTAGAGAAAGGACATTTCAAGAGGCACATGGAACAACCTCTGATCCCCAGTAGTGTAGAAAGAGTTCAAGATGACACACTATTTTCTATTAAAATAGAAAATTATCTCAAAAGATACAAAAAATTGATGGAACAGAAACACAAACGGTTCTGATAATCCTGCATCTTATTTAGTAACAGAAAATAAATGAGGTGCATCAGAGAAAATATAATAAAAATCCCAAATGGCTGAATTTAGAGAAAGATTAAGTATGCAAAACTTGAACACTTTCCACAGCTACCAAACAAAAGGCATAAGCCCCCACATATCAGGTGAAGTTAGTGATCAGCCTAAACTCTACCTGGCAAAGTTTTTAAAAGAAACTTTTCTGCACCTAACTTATTTTGCAATTTCTTACATTTTCTTCTGAAGCATTTCACTCTGCCACTAGAAATACAGTAAAAGAATGCCTGTAACTCAATATTATAAGTTAAGAGCTGATTTCCCATTTCAAAAGTAAAGCCCCAAAATACAGATAGCTCTAGGATTTCTTTTATTATCTATACAGGCAAATGACCCTCTACAAGCATGCTTCAGTATTACCAAACCAGTTTCTCAGTAAAGAAGGAGAAAAACAGCTTTCACAGAATGTGAATTTTACCTGATAAGTGCATTGAGTGGAATTTTTTTCCATGGGATACCCTGTTTGAGCAAATCATTAGCAAAAGACTGAATTGAAAACAAGGACTGTAGGATGGCATTCATATAGCAGGTGTTTCCCAAGTTTGAAAACCTGAAAAAAAAATTTTTTTGAATACTTGGTCAATGTGCAAACCTGCTGCCAGAGTTAAACACAGCACTACTAACACACAGGATATTCACCCCAGCCACTCCCCAAAGAGCATCTTACTGGAGCTGCTCCCCAGCCCTTCAGCCTAAACTGAAAACTCATGGGAGTCAGCATTTATCAGGAAAGCTCACATGAGTTTCTACAATCAAACTTTTAAAAAATGCATATATATATGTATATATATACACACACATAAAGATAGAGAAATGAATCATCATTAAAGGAGCATGAATTACCAGAAATTACTATGTCTCTGAAACTCCCAGGATGTGAATTCAGGAATAAATACCCTCCAAACTAAGAAAAGGGTTCCCTCCCTCAGTGTTCATTAATTTCAGGATTATTTTTTAAATTAAATAATCACGACAAGAATGTGCATGTTATGATGATCAAAGTATGCACACTAGATAAAGAAAATTAAATTTACCCTTGCAACTGTTGTTGAGGATGGGTGGAAAGGGGCACTCGGGGTTTGTTCCATCCTGTGTAATCTTGATTAGATCTCATTTTTTTAACAGAAAGAGGGGCAGGCTGAGAAAGGAATCCCAGGCTTCTTTTGGCTGAAGAGGTCTGGCTGGATACACTAGACCTAGAAACATAAAAGCATAAGAAGATAGAAGATTTGTGATGTTCTGCCTTAAAGAGCTATAGTCCATGACACTGGAATTGCAGCACCATGGAAGACAAGGAGTGGTGAAGCCACACAAGATAACTGGAATGTATCACAGTGAAAAAGAGATGTGACAGACAACATTTCTCTCTAGAAGTGTTAAATCTTAGCTTGGTTAAATCTTCTTATACCCACTGGTGTGCACGCAGTATAACCAAGTCTTTGGTCTTATAAACATTTAATAATTCCCCACACTCTATGATGAGAGGAAGAATAATTACATAGCAGGAGATCACCATTCCCAAGACAAGCTTAAAATTCTCATCTGGGCCAGAATCTTCATTTTCAGTCTCTTGTTCTTGTAACCTAATCACCAACTATGGACCTCAATTCCTAACATTTAAACATGGACAATGCTTCTTTTCTCCCCTGATCTTGTACCTTATCTATCTAGGACAGAGACCATGAGTCTGACTGCCCAGCACCTTACAGTGAAGAACCCCAAGCTCAGCAGGATTTAGTATTTGCTAAAATACTGTTACTAAAATATAGAATTGCATGCCATTTATCTACTAGGGAAAAATGAAGTACGAGTTCAGACTTAACTTGCAGAATTCATATAGTATTTGAACCATATAGAGTTATTCACAACAACTATAACAGACTTGAGTGATTTTACAAAGTCTTTCCATTGAAATCAGTAACTAGTTTGTAGATGTAAGCAGGGCAGTTGAAGACACTTTGAAGAACTGCACTGTGCTGCTGAAGGAAGAAAAAAAACCAACAGAACCCACCATGTTATGCATCTAAGCACCATGTGATCAACACACAGGAAACTGAAGAGCTTAATTCCTGTGAAACAGCTGCTATTTACAGTTCTAGTGAATCAGCCCTACCTGTCCAGGGAGGAACTGCCAGTGGAGTACTCCTTTGAAGAGGATCGACTACCATAAAAAGATGATGACTGCAGTGGTAAAACACCTTTAAAAGAGAAGGAAAGACAGGACATTTTGTTCCAGGTTACACAGCTATTTTTACAATAAGCAGCTTGTTTGAAAGTACCTAGTCAAAAGGTTTAAAAATCCTCAAATACTGATTTCTAGAATTGGTTGGGAGATGACTAATACATGTGCTTAGAAGTACTAAAGTGACTATTAATGATATGTAAGTAAAGGCATGAAGGAGTTTCAGGTATTCAATTCAGTCTCCATCAAACCCAAAGTGCAATATGAAATATTAAAAAGTCATTATCTTCACTATGTGAAAGTTAATAAATATCTATACCTCTTGTTAAGAGAGACAAGACACATGTACAGAAAACTCCTGATTTCCAATGCAGAGCTCTCAAAATTCAAGGTAAATATGCAGAAGTGAAAACAGCTTCTCTTCCTACTCCCAACTCCCGCAGTAAATTACAATATACTTGGGGCAAAATAGCATTGTTTTATTGATATGATATCATTGTGACAGATCCTGAGACTTTAATGCCTCAGATGGTACCACATTAAAAAAAGGCTCTCAAGAGTAAAAACCCCACCTATTACAGTGAATCTCAGTGTAATTTAGTTTGAATAACTGTTTGCTTCTTTTCCAGCTTGAAGTTGTTTGAGCCATGCAATTTTCAGAAATGCAGATATATGAAAGAACTTTGCAAGAACTTGCAGGGATACACAGTCTAATTTTGACTCTGAAGACAAAACCAGGTGTCCATTCAGAGGTAAATATTCACCTTCCCAGCTCTTCCAGCAACATATTTGTGCCATCAGAGATGCAGTAAAAAAAGAATGCATCCACCAACATTCCCCCATAAAAACAAGATCTTGAATGCATTCCACTTTATGAGGAAAGAAGTTAAGTATTTATTCATAAAACTGAAGAACAGTGCTGCTTACTAGCTTATCTACATATTGTCAGTATTTCTGTATTGTCTGTAAAGCCTGGTCCCACAGCAGTATCCAACAGAACTTTGGTACAAACAGGACCAAAGTCCTGGCCCCTCTAAGTTCTGGGGAAGAGATAAGGAAGTAAAAGCAAACAGTAGACATCTCAATCACAAAAAAAAACAGCCTAGAGTTCACACAGGCATTAAGAGCAAAGGCAAGTTTTAAAAATATGTAAAAAAGCAAGTAAAAAGGAGTTTACAGAAATCGCCTCCCAAGTGAAAGGGCAGCTTGGAACAGTTTGAAGCTGCTTGTTGGAATTTTCAAGCAAGATGGCTCATGGGCTGGCATCAGCACTGAAGAATAAAGGTCAAGGCCACACTAGAGCAGGACAGGCTTTGAAAATGAAGGCAGGTTATCTGCATCTCATATATGGCTCTGGAGGAAGCAACAAAGTTAATGGCATAGCAGATTAGGAAAAAAACACCTCTGCAGCAACTTGCTGGATTTGTACCAAAGGGGCGAGACTGTACTGGTCAAGGCTAGGTATCATTTGGCTTTACATTAATTTTTTACCTGATGTCCTATTCTCCTCAGCCTGCTTCAGGTTCAACTGTTTCTCTCTGCTACTATTCAAGTACTTCCATGCTGGATCAGTCAAGGCTTTATTATTCCTACAAAGAGAAGAGTGGAAGGCAGTGCAGTTATGGAAGATATGGGATATTCCTATTCAATATTTACAACTTGTTTTAAAGCATTTCTCTCCTATCACCTTTAATACCTGACCACGAACAGTAGAACTTCATTCACACATAAGTTTACCTCACATAATTCATTTAAACAAGCCCTCTTACAATTAAATCTGACTTTAAACACATGAAGCTTCTTCTTCAAATGGCAATTCCCCTTTATCAGTTTTGTTTTGAAAAGGGTCAAAGCACATGTAGTCCACATGCAGTTCTGAGTGACATAATTGACAAAAGATTGATGACTGGAATTAATTAAATCTGACTTTAAACACATGAAGCTTCTTCTTCAAATGGCAATTCCCCTTTATCAGTTTTGTTTTGAAAAGGGTCAAAGCACATGTAGTCCACATGCAGTTCTGAGTGACATAATTGACAAAAGATTGATGACACAAAATTTGTATGTGCCAGTTCATGGAAACCAACTGCTGGAACAGTCTGTATTTCCTTTACTAACCCTGAACATATGGCTCATTTCAAGCACCCAATGTATTCATAAACTGACTGGTCTGGTCCACGTGGCTGAGAGCATTCTTTTTAGAAAAACATCCCTTTACAAATGAACAAGGAATTTAAAATCAGAAACAACTGTTACTTACGTTGAAGAATCATTCTCTTTGGGATAATCTTCACTCATTTCTGAACCAGGGGGTTGTGTTCTTTTCCTCTTTTCACTGATGAGAGAAAAATTTGTGGTCATTCTTTTTGAAAGGTTAGCAAATGTCCCTCTTCTAAGTGAATATAATTCCTCAATGCCTTCCATGCATTTTGGACCTATCATCTGCAATCTCCACTTTTACAGCATACAGTGAGGCATTTGGTCTGCTCAACTCTTAAGCTGTACTGAAAGCTCTAGTGCCAGCATCAGTCAGAGGCTATAAAAGCATGTATTAACATCCTGTTAAAAGTAACAGCAAAACTAGAGGAAGATTTATATCCACCTGTAGCTCTACAAAGAGCTGGTTTTTTACAGTATCATAGTGAGAAGAAAACCCTCCTACCGATTCTCCAACAAGCCTGTCCTGTGAGGGACTGATGATGCAGGAGATGCTGCAATGTTTGCCCTGTTGCTTGGTGTTCCAGCTCCAGCAGAATTCTTCACAGAGCCTCTGGCTGGGGTACCCAGCACCTTGCGGAATGTGTTCTCCTCCTTACTCTCCACAGTCACTCTTTTGGGAGGAGTCTGCAAAGCCCAAGTGGAGCGCCAGGGAGAAAAGCCAAGAGTGAAAAAACAGGATCATCTTTAGTCTAATCTTTGATTTCCACCACTTTTTATTTGCTACAGTGTAGCATGCAGAAGTGGAGAGATACTACTTGTAACACATTCAGGGAGTTTAAACCCTAATTAGACATAGGTAGAATTCTGACTGAGTCACACAAGTCATAAACATTAAATTCTATTGCAGTAACCACTTTCCCTTCTCATTTTCCAATGCTAAGTCAGTTGAACTTCAGTTTTTAAAATCTCCTTTACAAGCTCTGACTTTAAAAAACCCAAGGCATGGTTCCTAACTATCCCCAGATCAATCCTGGGTGGTATTACAATTAAAAATATTAAAAGGCTGTACTAAAATCCACATAATTAAAACAGTGCCCTGACTGCCTTGGGCCAAGCAAGCTCTATGCCTGATGCAATGCAAAGAGATGATAATTGGTTGACTAAGGAATGTTGGTCAATTTTAGACTTGAAAACTGAACATGTCTAATCTCACCACTGTATATACAGCCTCGAGTTTTGAGAGTGAGATTGCCTTTAAGGTAACATGTAGAATTTGTTTTGGGACAATGTCAGAAATAGTCTCCCTCAGGGCAGTAATATAAAAGTATTCACAGAGATAATGAAGTAAATTAAAGTTAGTAGATACACCATGAAATCTGGGGAGAAAAAGAAGAAAAAATATTTTGAAGGAAAACAACTTCTGGGGAAAAGTCTGTGAAATTTACACAAAAATGTGAGCAGAATGCCACAAATTCAGTAACTTTATTCTGACATAAACCTGGATCATCTGCTTTTCAATGTACACATTTGGATTTGGCTGAAGTCTGCTAAGCCCATTGAGACCTATGCTGACTAAGACATGGTCACACATATGTAAGGTGTTTGGCATAAAACAAAGAGGGATTCAAAACTATGTGAGAAGCAAGTGTCAGTCATGTACTTTCCCTTCTATTTCTACTTCTCTGCCTAAAAGCTCATATGTGAAGAACATAGTCTGACTTTCATAGCCAGACACTGACCTTTTTTACTCATACAAATACCTTTCTTACTCCTCACAATCACAAGCTCTCTCAATTACAAACACTTTGGATGTAAACTATTTACAGTGCCATTACAACATATAGTAAAGAGAATGAGAGGAAGAGAGGAACAGAATAAAATTAGAGAGGAAAAATTTGAACAATTTAACAAACCTGGTTCTCCATGTAAGAGAATTGCCTGTTAGCTTCCTTCTGTGTGGTCCTGCTGCCCAGCACACCTCCAAAGCTGCCAGATCCTTGTGAGGGTTTCCCAGCTGACAGAAAAAGTACACAATATTTGATCTGATTGTCATTTAACTGACTGTGATTTTTATTTACAAAATGTTTAGCTGGAGTTGATTTTGGAAAGGGCATGCCAGATTTCTTGCCAACAGACTACAATATTCTGAATGCACAGACATGAGCATGTGTTTATGGATATCCCTCATACTGGTCATTTAGCCACTTGGCAGCAAACCTCCTATCTTAAAAAAAAAAAAACAACAAAATGAAGCAAATAAAAGAAAAAATGAAGAGACTGTGCATGGGAGATTATTAACATTTCAAATACTAACACACAACGTAAACAAATCCTTTATGTTAATCTCTGATTTTTGTTCAGCATGAGAAAGGTATAAAACAAAAAATGGGGTTTAAGGCCAGAAAGAAGCATTTACAGAAGTGGAGAGAAAGCCAGGAACACAAGGACAAAATGTGCTGAAGATGTGTGCTGCTTTTGGCTGGAGCAGAGTTAATTTTCTTCACAGTAGCGAGGATAAGGCTATGTTTTGGATTTGTCCTGGAAATAGTGCTGATAACAGAGATGTTATAGTCATTGCTGAGCTCTGCTCACAAAGAGTCAAGGCCTTTTCTGCTGCTCACATCACCCCTCAGGAAGCAGGGGATGCACAGAAAGCCAGGAGGGGACACAGACAGGACAGCTGACCCCAACTGACCACAGGGATACCCCACACCATGCGGCATCGTGCTCAGTGTACAAAGCTGGGGAAGAAGTAAGGGAGGCACAGTGATGGTGTTTGTCTCCTCAAGTCACCATCACACACAGCAGAGTGCTGCTTTCTTGGAGATGGCTGAACACCTGCTTGCCCACAGGGAGTGGTGAGTGAATTCCTCATTTGTTCTGCTTGTATGCACAGCCCTTGCTTTACTCACTAAAATGCCTTTGTCTCTACCCACAAGTTTCCTCATTTTCACTTTCTCATTGTCTTCCCAACCCCACTGGGAAGAGTGAGTGAGCAGATGCTTGGGGCTTAGCTGTTGTTTGATATGCTTAAACCATGATAAGATGGGGAAAAGAAAACACACCAGCTCTCCATAAGGTTATAACATGATTTACAAGAATTGTACTTACCAGTATGAACCCTGTCTTGATGGACTGCATCCAAATACATCCGCATTTCATTTGCATCTTTGAAAGGTACCTTATCAATTGTCAGAAAGCTGGTGTCCTTTAGTGTCAGCATCAGGCAGCACAGCTTTCTGCCATTTGGTCGTAAGGTCACAGTCTTAATGTTATGGCTTAACTGAAAACAAGAAAGTGACTATAAGCATAAATCCAACTTGAAAGGGCCAAAATACTTACAAATTCAAACAAAATACTTCAAACAGACAGGCTAAGAGAAACTCTCAGAAAAATACTTCTTGCTCCACTTCAAGGAAACATTAAACCTCATACAATTAATACAGTCTGTGACCTTGGCATCTGACAGGACTGCAAGGACAGTATCACTACTGCTCAACAGTCTCTAGAGTCCTGGATAAGCTTTCTGAAACTTGCTTTTCTACTGAGTGCGACATCTGTAAATGTAAAGGAAAAACAACTTTAGGAAGACCCATTTAATAAAAACTTCCACATCAAGTGCAAAATACAATTTAAGATGGGGAAAGTTTCAAGTACTAAACACAAATGTCTCACTTCACAATTTCCTCTCAGAGAAGACAGATTTCAAATAACTTAAAAAATCTGCGGAGGGAGTAAGTCAGTAAGAAACATGCTTACTCCATAAGCAACATCATAACAATTAAGTGGTGCCAAAACTTTCAGGGTTATGGTTGAGCACAAGCATCATTTTAATAAGACTTTGTGCTCCCTATTGATGCCACTGCTGTTTTGTAACATAATAACGTTACTTGTGCTTCATGCTAAGTCACCTGCAAAAACTGGCTGTTGGGTAAAGGTTCTAGTACTCATGCAGGTTTGAGGGCAGCTCAAAAAGACTGAGATAGTAAAAGACACTTCATGTCCACCAACGAGATTTCTTTTTTCCCATTAAGATCTCTAGCTGCTCGGAAAACCAATCTAGACACAACAGCAGCTTGTAAGCGGGGTTGGAAAACCACCTCGATCAGAATCTAAGGGTTTGTTTTAATGGGAACATTACACTTTTGAAACATCTTGTGCTCAATCCATGTATTTTGGGTTGGTTTTGTGGGTTTTTTTTTTTTTTGTTTTGTTTTTTTTTTGTGAGCTGTTGGGATATTTTGTAAACACAAGCTAAAAATATTTTCAAACACCTAAGAATAACAGGCTCCAAATTTTTTGTCATCACTTAAAACCCTGAGTCCAGTGCAAAGGGATTACAATTACTTCACCATCTCAGAGTAAAACAACCCATTTCAACTCAAAATTCTGTCAGAAGACTCCATCCCTACTCTTCACGCACCTGTTATGACCCAGTCAGCGTCACAAAGTGTCGGTGGGTGTGGAGAAACAAAGTATTTCTCTTAATACTATCTAGGACAACTTAGTTAAAGCTCTGAAACATCTCTAAGACATCATCTGACAGAAGAAATTTGATGACACACTCAAAAAACCAGGGAATGCTACTTCTGAAGCAAGATCATCAGGAATTTGTCACACCTGAAGTGGCATGCCAACAGCCTGGGGTTGTCTCACACAAACTACCCTCCAGCACAAGCCTCCTTCTCTTCCTTTGCTGCAGTCCCAGCTGCACGGGGGCTTATCACCCTCTCTGATAGATCCTGCACTCAGTCCTTTCCCCAGATTTCTGTGAAAACCCTCCACTGAGCTCACAAAGAGACCTGACAAGAGACAGCAGCCATGAGAGGCTGGGAAGAAAACCTGCCCCTTTAGGCCATGGTTAGCTGTTCTGTAGGCTCATCCTCCCCGTGGAACCTCCCTCTGAGCTGCTGTCACACCACATCACTCATCCAGGCAGAAAGGAGTGGGTGAGAACAGGCACCCAGGGAATGCATGAGGGGAAGACAACACTGCTCTCCTCAGGGCCAACAGTGGATTAAAGCAAACCTGCAGCCACAGCAGCACACATGAAAAGGCAGAGACTCTTCCCAAGTCTACAGTAACACAGGTGGGAACAATCCACAGCTAACCATTTCCAGGCAGCCTTGATTTCCAGGCAACAGCAGCTACCAGACTCTTTGCTGAGACTTTTCAGCACACTAAGGCAGCAAAAACCTAACCCTTCAAAAAGGAATTAACTTTTTTCCATAGCATCTGCACACAGAATTAAATGGCTCAGAGAACAGACTGGTGAACATTACTGACAAAAAACAACAGTGGCGTGAAAAAGCAGAATCCAACATATAGATCAGTTTACGCTGTTACAAAGTTGCTAAATAAGCTGGGATTTGTTTTCCTCCAACTGCTCTTGTGTCATTTACGTTATTTCTAAAACAGGTATGTATTTCTTATAGAGAAAGCACTCTGCTTCTGATCTGGGGCATTTTGCAGAAAATCTAGGAAGAGTGACTTGAAAACAACTATAGAATATGAAAAATTTTGGCTGAATATTTCAAGAGAATCTTTAACAGCAATCTGCATCTCATTTAAAACCTAAAACTGTAACAAGTAACGTTCAGCAAAGTCTCACAATAGGCTACACAGGTGTATTAACATCATTATACTTTAAATGGGGAAATAGCTAGTATAAAATGGACAGGATCTTCTCTAGAGAACACAAATGTGCCAGTAAGAGAAAGGTTACAGGTTCCAAATATCCAAAACATGAGGCACAATGCTGTACGCTTCTGTAACTTTTCTCTGTTCTTTTGCTCTTCCCTTTCAGTGGCATCTCAATGCCAACCTTGGTAGATCCTTTAACAATAAGTGTAAATAATTTACTGGAGAGTTATACAAAGGGATTAGTGTTCAGGAAACCAGGAACAAGAAACAGTGACAGAGGGAAGTCTGCGGGACACTTAATAGCCTTGAAGAGGACAGCTGTTCGCAAGAGAGCACAATCCATGCACTGTTAAAACAAAAGCCTTAATGTCTGGCATACCTGAAACGTCGTTGGAACTCCTCCAACATTGTAGTGAACTACTAGAATCACTTTGTTGTCCTTCTCCACAATTTCAAAGCTCCCTTCTTTCCATTTTGTAATCCCAGTCTGCATGCTGCGCATCCGGACAGGTCCGTGCACCTTTAACAGAGCCATGCTTTTTCTCACAGAAAAGAGCTAACGACAGTAAGCGTGCTCCACCTTAAAAACCTGTTAAAAAGGAGAAATGTATAACTTGGCAGGCCAGATAATGGCTAAAGGAAGACGGAAGCATGGCTTGAACTTTCCACAGAAGTTTGGTTTAAAAACAGTTTCACTGTTTTTAAACACAGAAAGGAAGAGCTGAGCAGCAGTGAAGGAAACTTAGATTAATAAAATCTCTCCCAGTATGAACAGCAGTGCGCCGATTCCTTACTGCTGAAAGGTGAGCAAACACAATTCCGGACACAGAAGTCCGTAAAATCCCTTAACTTCAACGGATTTAAGGTAAGGGGGAAAAGAAGTGCCCGAGGAAAGCCAGCATGAGATGGGAAACAAAGTTTTGGAGGAAGTCTCCAAAGAAAGAAAACGCGCTCGTTCTGACGGCGCGGGAGCCACGGTCACCTGGCAGGGCCGGGACGGGGGTCCCCGGCTTCCCCCGCTGCTCTCCGCCCGGGACAGCCACGGGCCCGGGGGCGAGAGCCACAGACCGAGCGTAGCGGGAAGCGGGGCGAGCCGTTCTCCCGGTAAAAGCAGAAGGAATGAATGGAGCGGCCCCGGCGCGAGCCCGGGAGGCGCTGCCGGGGAGGTTCCCCCAGGCATCCCGCGCTCAGCGCCGCCGCTCCCGGCCGGGCCTGGCGGTGGTCCCGGCTCTCCCCGGGTCCGGCCCCGCTGCGCTCCCGCCGTTCACCCGTTCAGGGACGCGGTGAGCACGGGAGCGCCGCCCGCCCCGGGCCGGGCCGCTCTGAGGGCGGGCGGTCGCCGCGCGGCGGGAGGGGCACGCGGCCGGCGGGAGCGAGTAGGAGTCGGTGGCGGCGATCCCCGGTACCTGCGTTCCGGCGCGTTCCGGCGCGTCCCGCGGGGCCCGGGGCGAGGCCCGGGGGGGCGGGGGCAGGGGGCGGATGGCGGGAACCGGCCACAGCAGCGCGAGACGGCGCGCAACGCGCGCCCGCTCACGTCAGCGCGGCAGCGCCTTCCCGGCGCGCCCCGCGCGCGCCCGCTCCGCGCGCAGGCGCCGGCGCCGCAGCGGCCCCGCCCGGCCCCGTCCCGGCGTGCCCCGCGCGCGGGTGAGAGGTCGCGGCGGCGAGCGCCGAGCCCATGGCGGTGACGGCGGCGGCGGCCTGAGGTGGCGGCGGCTCCGCTCCCACCCTCCGACCATGCACAGCCTGGCCACGGCCGCGGTGAGCGCCAGGCTCCGCGCCCCGCTGGGCTCCGACGGGACGGCGCTGGGGATGGGCCCCGTTGCGCGGGTGTGCGGGGAGCGGGAGCGCGGCCGCTTGTGGTTGCGGGGGGAAGTTGAGGCCGCGGGGTGGCGGAGCCCCGGTGAGCTCCGTCCCCTCGGCATCACCGGCGGGGTCCGTTTGGCCGCTGCCGTACTCTGGCCGCTCCGTGCCGGCGGTGCGGGCTCTGCTGCGGCGGGGCCCGTACGGGGCCTGGAGGGTTTCCCTGCGGGGCGAGCCGGCTCTGCCTCCGGTGCCTCACGCAGGGCTTCCCCTCCTTCCCCCCGCCTGCCCTGCTTCCTCTATCCCTCCTTCCTCCCGCCTGCCCTGCTCCCCCTTCCCCTCCTTCCCCCCGCCTGCCCTGCTCCCTCTTCCCCTCCTTCCCCCTGCCTGCCCTGCTCCCTCCCTGCGCCTGCATGCCTCCTGTAGCCAGTCAGTGTTTTAAGATTCTTTAAAGAACTGCTAGAAAAGCTATCAGCAAAAGTAGGTTTAATACAAAAGCAGTAGCATGACAAATTTTGTTGATGAGGTTTGCTCTATTTTTTCAAAAGCACATAGAGGAAAGGCAAACAAAAGTCTAGAATTAATTAATCTACAACCAAAATAAATGCAAAAAATTATCCACAGAGTGTGTGGAGGGGGAAGAGCAGGGAAGAAAAGGATAAGGATAGGAAAGGGTTGGATAAGAAGGGATAAGAAAGACCTTCCTGCTGAGGCAAAAGGTTCAGAGTGGATCTTCTTTAAGTGACCTTAAAATACTTATCTGTGACACCTCCTGCGTGCCCAGCCACCTCCTCTGCCCTCTGGGAGCTGTTGTACTGCTGGCCTTGACAGCACAGTGAAGAGCCCCTCGGGGCAGCAGGTGCTGCCTCTTCCTGCTTCCCTTTTGCCCCACTGTGCTGCAGGTGGTGCACCATGGCTGGTGCTTGCCCTCATTCCCCTCAGGAAGCTGCCAGGATTGGATTTGGTGCCTGGGATTCAGGCTGGCAGCAGTGGAACTGTGCCCTGGGTGGGTTCAGAAATGGAAGCTGAGTTTGAAGGATGTGGTTATTGCTGTGTATCTGCCATGTGACTGTGTTTGTGTTTTGGTTTTCTCTCCTCCAAATGCTCGTTCATGGCATGTGCAAGACTGCCTAGAGCTGATTGAGTCTCGTGTGTACTGACTGTGGGATGTGTATTGCAAAAGCAGCAGTTAGAGCTGTTTCAGATGAGCTTAGATCAAGGGTCTGGTTGGACTACCGAGCTAATGAGTAAGTAAGGTTTTGATGAACAGGAGTTAGAGAACTTTTTAAGTTTATCCTCTTTGTTTAAATGCTTGTGACTTTAACTGGTTCTTGGAGTGCTGTCAAATACTTCTGATTTGAAGTACTGTTCTCCAGAGCATGGAAGGGTGTGCCATATCAGGTAAACTCTCTTAATCAGCATTTACATTTTTATAGCACTGTAATTCCTAAATGTTTGTTGAAATGCATTAAGGACTCCCATTATGTGTATCTCCCATTAATCCTCTATGTTCTGGTTATGTCTCTTTTAAAGACAATTTTAACCAAAAAATTTATTTCAGAATAGAGATCGACTTTATTTTAGGACTCACTTAAAAGTATATTTAATTTATGTGTAGTTTATGCTATCTGGTAGTTCTGTATTGAAATGTTTCCTTCCACAGTCAGTGAGCTTAGACTGGAGGTGACAGAGAAGGGTGTTTGGCTCTGGAGATGTGCTCAGGACCTGTGGTAAATAAAGTCACCTCTTGGTAAGGTCAGGAATTGGCTCAGAATCCCTTTGGGTGTTGTGAACCCTGCTGGGATAAAGCTGTGGTGAGCTGGAGCAGTGATCTTCATGCAGTGATGCTGGTGGCAGAGCTGACACTCAGGTGTCTGCCCTGAAGGCCTCACAGAGTGCTGAGGACACGCTGAAACCATTAATGTACCTGTGATTGGCTGTAGGCATTGAAAGCTCTGCTAGAATCAGATAATTCACTGCTGTGGAAGTTCAAAGTTCATTTTTGGTGTTTCTGAACTGATGGGCTATCAAAATAGTTTAAAAAGCACATGTTATCCAGTTAGTCAGTGTGTGGCTTTGTCTGACCAGGACTTCTACCAGTGTGCCTAGCAGCAACTGCTCAATCAGGAAGAGAAAGCCTTTTGCCTAAATCAATTTGCTGTGTGAGTGTTAGAGATGTCTTTTCTCCAAAAAGAAGAAAAGGTGTTATGAGATTTTTCCTGATCTAATACCGTTGAAAAGTGTCGCTTTCCCTGTGTGCAACGGAAAATCTGCCTGGTGGGGTTCTGTCCTGGGGCTTGCACGATTTGTGTGGCCCTCAGGGTTCCCCAGAATTTTGGGTCTTAGAGGGAGAAGAAGAAACAATAATGAAATAGGGAATTAGGGAAAAAACCCATGTATTTCCATATAAACTAAAACAAAAGGAGCAACTGTAGAGCCTATGAAAAGCAGTTTGTTCTGGCTAAGGCAGATATTGGACATCATAAACCTAATTGTGTGGAAAATCTACTTAGTGTTCTCTAGGGATCACAGGCACATGATTGTGCTTTTAAGGGGTCGATGTATTTAAGCTTACAGGAACTGAAACTTCCAATGAGTCTAGAAAAATAGATGGAAGCTTTAGATAACACAATTATAACAACATTATTGCTACACTGCTTGTCAACCCACCATCCCACATAAAAACAAATGAGCTCTCTTCATTCTCCCTCTCTTTTTGAGCTTCAGTGTAGAAGTTAGCATTGCAATTGCACCCTCAGTTGTAGGGGCACAAGAAACTTGGCAGGATCACTAATTTAGTTTGAGGTTTTGGGGGAAAAAAATTACAAATTTAGTAGGTGACTGTCCTGGTTCTGGCCAGAACAGAGTTAATTTTTGCATAGCCAGGCACCAGAGATTATTCTGTACCACCTCACATCATTTTTCAGAGAGGGAGGAAGGACTTGATTTGAGTTTGGGCCAGTGTGGCTCAGGAAGCAGTTGGGTATTGTAGGGGGATTCTGTGGGGTGAGCAATAACTTTTCTTTTCTTGTACCCTAATATTAGTCACTAATATTAGTTAGATTTCTTATCTCATTGCTGTTCCCAGTAAATTGTTGCTATCTCAACCTGTGATGTTTACCTTTTGTGCCTCCAATTCCCCTTTCCATCTTGGAGTAGGGGGACTGGGAGGGGAAGGAGGGAGTGGCGACTGGTCTGGAGTGGTTTCAGTGGGAACACTAAATGGGAGATTACCATCTCTAAACCATGACAGTGAGAAAAAAGAGGACAGGAGGAAATATGAACAGCTAAAAAAGTATTTGAGCCCAAGAGTACAGGGAGTGATAACACCACATTGGCTTATGTGTGAACATTTAAGTTAAATAATACACCAGAGCTGGCTGGAGGAGAGAGAAATCCCACAGCTGGGGAATAATCTCTTTGGATGTTACTATGGAAATAAAATGGGGATAAACAGAGGAGGGAAACCTTTGCAGACACAGAGAAAGAAAGCTGTTGGTGTCTGGCAAAGGTTGAGAAGTCTGTCTCCATCCCTCCTGCATGCCTTCTGGGACTGCCTCTGCCGTGTGGCTTCAGGTTTGGCTGCAGCCACTTTCAGTTCCTGTATTCTGTGTGTCTCAGTGGTGAGCAGCTTGGTGACAGCATTGCTGTCAGTGTGGTATGGGCCCTGCTTGCATCTGTTGTGGGGAGCATGTGAAGAGTTTCAGTTGGGGTTACAAAATAAAGAAATACAGTCCTGTTCCCAGCTGGGATCACCGCACAGCGAGATGCAGAGCTGGTTGCATGCTGGTTGGGCTGGCTCAGGAGCAGCAGGTGCCAACAGGGCTGTGCTTGGCTTCAGTAATAACCACTGCAGCAATGTTTGAAAAGGTTCTGACCTGGCTTTTGGAAGTGTTCACACAGGAGGCTTATTTGATGGTTTTTGTCTCCTTCAAAATTTTGTATCTGAGTCACCAAACTATCCCCTTAGGAAACCTGCAGAGCATCTGTTTGCACCAAGTGCTGCCTGTGCCAGCAAAGGCAGGAGACAAAGTTTCAGTGAAAGACTTGTGCCTTGCCTTCTCCACAGAAATTGATATAATCCCTCTTTTCCCTCTTATTCCTCATTTTTTTGTATTGAGAACTTGTTGATCTTGATGCTGTTCTTTCCCTGATGTTTCAAGAGAGGCAGAAGCAAAATTTGGATTTCCCCTGCATAGTAGAAAGTGTGTCTTGGCCAGGAATACAGATCTACTCTTCTCTGGACTTATTTTGTACAGGAATCAAGTCATCCTGAGATCTTGCACAAAGTCATTCTTGAAAAATTCCCTTTTAGCTCCATGCACGTGAATAATGGAGCTGGTATCAATACAAGCCATTGGTAACAGCAGCTCTTGCTGGCTGTGGCCAGTGTCACGCTGGTGGTGAAGTAGTGAACATTTTTCAACTGTTCATATGAATATTTTTTTCATGTGCATTGGGTGAATCTCATTGGCAGCTTCCAATGTCATGGGTGTTTGTGGAGAGAAAAAGGTAACCTCTGCCTTACTCTGAATCTGTGGAATCTTGCACTTGAAGCATGAAATAAATGCATGCTAAATGCAGGTGGGGCAAATGATAGCTGGCTGAAGTGTGTGTTGCTCCCCAGGAGCTCTGCTGGCACACCTGGGCAGCAGCTTGGCTCTCATGCTGAATGAAGTTACAAAGGTACTGCTTCACAAGGGGATTAAGAGAGACTGTCAGGCCAGGAAATAAAGCCTTAGAATTTCAAATAGGTGAAATACTAACGCTAATCTAAGGAAGGGATGGATCCATGTCCAGAACATCTTAATAGAGCTCTAGGTCCCGCCCTCTCAGTCAGGAGTTTCTTTTTCTGTCAGATTGTGGCAACGGTTTGGGTGAGAACTGGATAAAATGTTTGGGCTGAAGCTTTCCTGTTTCCTCCCAGCCTGTGCCAACAGCACTGGCTCAGGTTGACCGTGAGAAGATCTACCAGTGGATCAATGAGCTGTCCAGCCCTGAGACACGGGAGAATGCGCTGCTGGAGCTGAGCAAGAAGCGCGAGTCCGTGCCGGACCTGGCCCCGATGCTGTGGCACTCGTTTGGCACCATCGCTGCACTCCTTCAGGTGTGTCAGGCAGTCTGTGCCTTTTATTCTGTGCTGCAGCATCAGCATGTTGCAGGGCTTGTGCATCCATCAGGTGGATCTGGGGAGGAACTGGTGGGAGCCCTTAGTGCCATTGCTTGGGAGTATGATCTTTGTTGGATTGTGTGCTGGGGGGAGCAGATGAAGGTTTGAATGCACTCCTGTGACTCCATGTCAAATTGCCTCTGACCCAGCTCAGCCCTTGCCTGGGCAGCATGGTGGCTGCCATGTAACTTGAAAATAACTTGGTGAAAGCAGACTGTTTTCTGCTGTCACAGCACTTCCTTGCCAGGCAAGTGCTTTGGTGTAGCTTACTGATATTTTTCTCCTTTAACTTTCCACTCTCTGTTAATTTTTAGGAAATTGTAAATATTTATCCATCAATCAACCCTCCGACTTTGACAGCCCATCAGTCCAACAGAGTCTGCAATGCTTTAGCTCTACTACAGTGTGTTGCATCACACCCTGAAACAAGGTAAGTGTTTCCAAGTTGTGTGGGTTTTCTGGGGTGTTGATATTGACACCTCAGCCCAAGTGTTTGACTTTAGAAGCACTTGAGCTCCTTTCTTTTTTTTATGTGAGAGAAGTGAAACAGACAACAGAGCTGATAGATAGGCAGCTACCTGCTGCTTTTACTTGTTTGCATGGATTATCAGGATGACAGCTTTATGGTCCTAAATGCATTGCATTCCCTGGATCATCCTGAGATCTTGTAAATTCTCAGAACACTGGGTTGTGGGAGCTTCTGGGAGGTCAGCCAGAGCTAAGGGTACCTTTGTGTTGAGTGCTGTGTGCAAGGATCCTTGAGCTTAAAATTATTTAGGCAAGGAGCTTGGTTAGAGCACGGTATCAATAATGCCAAGGTTGTGGGTTCTGTCCCCATATGGGCTCTTCACTTAAGAGCTGGACTCCATGATCCTTGTGGGTTTCTTCCAACTCAGAATATTCTGTGAAGTCAAAAAAGAACTCCCTAAATTTCAGCTTACAGTTTTTCAGACCAGCTGTTGAAAGGGTGGAATGAACAGGACTGTCTTCCTCAGGCAAGTGTGAGGCAAGGGAGCAATAGCAGAGCCATTTTTGGAGTCCTCAGCCAGTGTCTGACTTCATGTTTTCTTAGTTTGTGCCCAGTCCATGTCAGTAGGGAAAAATATGATGTTGGTTCAGCCAAATTCAGTAGCTAGAACTCAGGAGGAAACTACCCAGAGATCCACAATCTCATGCTTCTGTTACTGCTGAGCAGCAGCATAGCTGAAGTTGGTTTTGAGCTGCTGCAAAGCAGTGTTAAACAGCAACCCCTCCATGAGATGATATCCAGAGAAATAGGGTAGTTTTACACTACTCACCTTTACATGTAAAGTTTGAAAAGTGAAAATGGAACAAGTATTTTGTATGATTTTGCAAGAGAGCTTCCATCTGTGAGCAGAGCAATCTCCAGCATTCTACCTGCAATTTTTATTTTTCACTACTGCCAGAAGGCAGTGTGAGGACTCTTGGGGAAAGGTGTTCGTGCACATTTAAACCCTGGTGATGCCTAAAGCTCAGCCAGTCTGTGTTTCTGAGAGGTACTTTTCACGGCCACTGTGGCTGACAATCCTTGCCATAGGGAGCCTGCAGGGTGAAATGCACAGTGAATTTACAAAACAGAGGGTCTGGGTGGCAGGAGGAGGTAATAAAAACAACAAGGGTGTTCTCAGTTCCTGGTCAGCTGAGGCAGGAATGCAGGTAATGGATGGATCAGATGTTAGGTTTTGTGCTGTGCCCAGTGCAGGATTTGTTTTGTGCCTTCCCATCAGAGAATTGTTACCCACTTTTGAGGAGCAGTAGCAATGGGATCTGCCAGGAATAGTCTGAGGCTCTGCATGGTAATGCCAGATTGTGTGCTCACTTTGTTTCCCTTGTTGTTCACATGGTGTGTTCTGTCTTTCCTGCAGATCAGCTTTTCTGGCAGCTCATATTCCTCTCTTCCTGTACCCCTTCCTGCACACGGTCAGCAAGACCCGTCCGTTTGAGTACCTGCGGCTCACAAGCCTCGGAGTCATTGGTGAGCAGCCAGACGGACACTGGAGCGCTGATCTCCTCCTGAGTTAGAGCTCCTCATGCTCTGGGCATAGAGACCTGCATGGCCAAAGTCAGAGGTCTCTTGTAATTGGGATTTTACAAGTCTCCTGTAGCAGTAAGAGAAGGAGCTGCTCCTTTTCTGTTGTGAAGGCAGACTCCTCTTTCTTTTCACTTATAAAAAACCCACCGAAGTCTAAAGGCATTGCCAAAAAAATGTTTCTTTGAATACAAGTACCTGGAGACTTCTCGTACCTTCACCCTCAGCCCTCCCAGCTAGACACTGGGATGGGTGGGTGCAGGCTGGGCTTTCTCTGGGTTTCTGTCATTGATTGACTTGGGTGTATTTTCCATGTCTTCCCCTTATCCTGTTTTTTTTTTTACTTTCTTCTTTCTGCCCAAAAAAGTTTTCTCTCAATGCACAAAGATCTTAAAATGTCTTAAAATGGATTAAGTCTAGGATGACAGTTCTCTGCCTGGCATTCAGACTGAATGGTTTCTGGGAAGGGCAAAACACAGGCCCTCCTTGAAAGGTGTGATTTTTTTGAAACAGTTAATCATTTACTGATTTTGGATTTTGTTTTTACTTCAAGGGGCCTTGGTGAAAACGGATGAGCAAGAAGTTATAAATTTCTTATTGACAACAGAAATTATCCCCCTGTGCTTACGTATTATGGAGTCTGGCAGTGAGCTCTCCAAAACGGTACCATTTTTTTGTTTCCATAAAGATACTTTGTTGTTCATCTCCTACTGACCAGGCAGCCAGTGCCCTGCAGAGCTTCTCTGCTCCTGGAAATGCTGGGACAAATCTGGGTGGAGTTTTTACCTCCTCAAAAACCAAACTTACCAAGACCTGAGGCTGCCTGAATGGCCTGGCAGTAGCTGGCCTCGTATGCAACCTGAATCCAGTCATCTTGTACACTCTGCTTTGTGTTCATCTCTTTCCTTTAACCAGAGATGCCAGAGATTGTGTACTGTCCTGCATTTCATTTTGGCTTCTAACTTTCACTGAGTAAAGCACTTGTTGCCTGCTGGAAGACTTTTCAATTCTGGGGCTGACTTGAAAAGAGCACCACACAAAGGGTGTCCCTTTTCAGGGTAGATAAGTTGTTTATATGCTTTGTTTCCTGCTTTCTCCCCATTCTAGGTTGCTACGTTTATTCTTCAGAAAATCCTCCTGGATGACACAGGGCTGGCATATATCTGTCAGACTTATGAGCGGTTTTCCCACGTTGCCATGATACTGGTAAGATTATTTGTTTTTAAAGTGTTTATATTTAAAAAAGAAAAAAAATTATGCGACAGCAGCCAGCCTCTTCAGCAACTACTTTACTGCTGTCTGGCTGGAGCACAGGATGAGGGAGGCAAATCTTTCTTGGGCTAATTGCTTGTGGCACTGTAGCTCTGCTTCCATGTTTCCTTGGTATACTTCTGGTTTGCATGTCAAGAGAACACATATTAGTTGTGATATACTAAGTCCCCAAGACAAAAACAGGTAAACCTCTTCAGAGAAGAAAAAGATTTTCCAGAGTTGTGGGTGTTTCCATTTGTAGGTAGGATATGAATTGATTTTTTATGTAAGAATGATCACACAGTTCAGATCATGGATCTGTGTCCCATCCATGTCTCTCACAGCATGTTGAAAGAGCAGGGCAAGTATCTATCCTACTTGTCTTCATAACTTCATAGCTACCAGCTACTTCCAGCTTTGGATTTCTGAGGCCACTTGTGGAGTTTCTGTGTAGTAACCCTCAGTGTTTGTCCCATCCACCCCTTGAACCCATGGAAACTTTTTGCACCCACACTGTCTTTGGCCAAGGGGTTTCAGACATGAATTCTTACTTGAACACAGAAGGACGTGGGTGTGTAAAGCTGTGTTAGCCTGTGTAGTCCCACCATTAGGTGAAGCCCTGGGCAAGGTCAATATTTCATAGTGCAAGAGAGAAAGATGAAAATGTAGCAGACTTTTTCATTGTCTATTTCAAAAATCAGGATAGTGTACTCCTGTCTAATGAGGGTGATGATTTACTTCCGTGTCTGCTGATAACGGAGTAAAATGTCACACAAGTATTATATGCTTTTAAAAGAGCAAGTTAGTATTTTCCATCCAGGAGCTCTCTCAGGAGCTTGTGGTTATTTATTTTGAAGAAATAATTGGTAATCCTTGGGAATCGCTAAGAACAGGAAGCTTGCAAAAGGGCAGATGAGGGGGGACCTGCTAATTGCTGATGGCCAGGATATCCAAATGCAGGCGAATTTGGCTAATGGGGAAAATGTAGTTTACAGAGGAAAAAAACCAACTTGTTGGGCAGATGTGATTGACTCCTAAATACAAGCCTGCAGTCTGTTAAATTCTTCAGAGGAGGTGTGTGAAGGCATCCACACTGTGTGCTCAGCTGGGCATGTTCAGAAGTGCAGCCATGTGCAAAGTCCTACTTAGTGTGAGAAATGGACTGGGCTGGGAAGATCTGTCTATGCCTTGCTTCCCTGGAACAGCTTAATGAGGAATGTAGCAGAAAGAAAAAATACACTGCTTGAAAGCAGGCTAAGACCAGATAAGGATCATACTACAAGTGTGGTGAGCTCAGTCCTATGGCCTGGCTTTCCAGGGTATTGCTGTTGTCTTAACAGGATGTTGAAATGAAGGGAATGCGTATGAGAACAGGGGATGTTGCAGAGCTTGGGATCACACCTCATGGTGTCACTCAGCCTGAGCTTATCAAACTGTTTGGAATGTGTCTGTCTTCAATGAGGGGGAAACCCCAGGGTCTCTTTAATTTCACAAAGAGTTGCTAAGTAGTCCTAGAAGGTAAAAATTAAACAGAAATGAGGTGGGCTTTCCTCGAGCTGCTGGTAGAACCCTTTCCAAGTCATGGCAAGCTGCTATTCTCAAAGGCATCTTGGCAAGCAGCACCAGGCTCCCTGCAGGGGTATCTAGATAAAAGGTAATGGACTGTGCTGCTCAGGAAGCCAGACTAAGTGATCTAATGATTTTTCCTTGTCTCTGTTGATTGTGGAGCTGTTCTTTTAAAGACTTTAACTGGTGGCACTGGCCTCTGTCAAATAGGGTAAAATGGTCCTGCAGCTCTCCAAGGAGCCATCGGCACGGCTGCTGAAACACGTCGTCCGCTGCTACCTTCGCCTTTCCGATAACCCCAGGTAAACATTTTAGGAGTTTGGGCAAGGGCTTCTCCTGTGCCCTTGGATGCACAGCTCTTCAGTTCTTCCCCACAGTGCCCCACCTGTCAGCTTAGTATGGAAGATGGGTGGGGTTTTGCTTTGATATTTTTCTTGCTAGTCACAGCAGCTTTTATGGTGCATGGGAGCAACAGTGTCTGTTGTGGGATTGTGTAAATTCCAGCTGTGCAGGTTACTACTGCCTGAGCTCATGTAGCTTGAACAAGATACAAAGGAGGGCCTGAGGTGGAAGGTACACTATGCTCTGCCTCTTCCGCATCAAGACAGGCTGTTAGCAGTAGATGAAATTCAGTTGAGAGAATACAAACTGATCTCCTGCTGACCAGTAGCCCTGCCCAAAGCTTCTGGGCGTGTATTTGTTGCCTCAGTCTCTCCTAGCATCACATCACTTTGCTGCTGGGTGTGGGGGTGCTGGGGCTGCTTGGCGGGGTTTAGTGTCAGGGGTGGGAGCTGTGCTGGCTGGCTGAGTGCCATCTGCTGCAGTGCTGCTGCTCAGTGCTTTCCTTGGCTGGCTCTAGCAGGGAGACCTCCAGGCAAGGGAACGCTGTGTCCTCAGTGGGATTTGCTCCCCTCTTGCCCCTGTGAGTTTATTTGTTGGGCCCCGTTTCTTGTCTCTTGATGTAGGGCACGTGAAGCTCTCAGGCAGTGCCTTCCTGACCAGCTGAAGGACACCACCTTTGCCCAGGTCCTGAAGGATGACACCACCACAAAGCGCTGGCTGGCTCAGCTCGTCAAGAACCTGCAGGAGGGTCAAGTCACTGACCCACGGGGCATCCCTCTTCCTCCGCAATGACTGCTGGGGGAGGTGGGGCTCTGGGGAAGAAACAGCTCAGGTTTACAAAGAACCAGGAACAGGTGACCTCTTCTGCAACAAACTGGGCACGCCAGCTGGCTGCTGGCCTGTCGGACCATACCACCCAGCCAAAGGGCTGCTCTGTAGCAGTGCAGCAAGCCTCCGGGGATCCCAACACCAGCAAATGCTGATACTGCAGCTTCAAAAAAATCAATAAAAACAATCTGTGTAGATCCCAGTCTCTCCGGGAGGCTTGGGTGGCATCTCTTCCCCTACCTCCAGGCAGGGGGTAGTGCAGATGTCCACTCTTCCAGCAAACTCAGCCTCTGCCCAACTGGTGCACAACAGCAGGTATGTGCACCATGTCCCTCCAGTTCTTTGTCAGTTCTTGTTTACATGTCTGTTTAAATGAGTGAACTGAATAAAAGCTGATCCAGTTGTTTTATCCCCTCCTTACACTGCTACTCAGCTGCCGGTAGTCCAGGGACAGCTTTTTTCTCTGCCAGCACATCCTTGCTCCTGGCTCTGCATCCATCTGGCACAGTGAGCTTCTCTCTTCCTTTCCTTTGGCATGGAGGCAGTGGCTGCAGCCAGGCCACTGCGGTGCTTGCCCCAGGAGGAGGGGTGGATTACTTGCAGTGAACCCATGTGTCATCAGGTTGCTTCACAGAGCTCTGGGGAAGGAGAAGACAGCAGGATTGTGACTCCTGTGCTGTAAATAGTTCACTCCCACAGCTGATCAGCGGCCCGAGGCTGATGTGTGCTGGCCTCTCATCTAGACCTGGGAAGGCTGCTGGCTGGCTTGTCACATGGAGCTCAGTGTGAGGGCACCTGCCTTGAGGTGGTGGTCAGGCCACCGACTGATCTCCTGCTGCCTGCAGGCTCCAGGTATGCTGCCTTCTGCTCCCGCTGCTGCCCGCCAGGCGCCTCTCAGTCCTGTCCTTCCCTTCCCCCTCCTGCTCCCTCTGCCAGCCAGGTGCATCCATTTCAGCTTTGAAACCTGCCTTGGCATCCGCCACGGCCCCACTGCAATTAACCTGGACCAGCAGCCACTTACCTGCCGCCCCTGTGCCGAGGGGCCAATGCAGCCGCAGCGGGCTCTCGGAAGCAGTGGAGGAGCTCCCGGGCTCTGCGGCAGCAAAGCCTGCTCTTGGCTGCAGGCAAGCCTGGGCAGCTACTTAATTTCTCCCCCCTCTTCGAGTAGCCCATTTTGCTGATCATCTGCAGTGTGTGCCAACAGTGTCTTAAATCCCATCATTTCCCTTCCCTCCTCTCACAGCCTTGCGTAACAAGGGCAGAGCACAGCCTCTTCCTTGCCCTCGGGTTCCTGTTTTATAACCATTGCCTTTTCCCTCCTTTTCACCCTGACCTTGCCAGGGTGTGAAAATGCTTCTGTTTGGTTGATTGTTTTTTTAAAAATTCCGATTAATAAATAATAAAACCCCAGCCAGCACAGATTGGTCCCGGTCTGGTCTCTCGGGGGGGAGTGGTGGCAAGCGGCGCGGTGGGGATTTATTGCAGACGGGAGGAAGGGCAGGATGTGCCGTCTTGGGGGTATGAGCGTGGAAGAGCGACCTTTTCCCAGTGCGAGGTGGCTTTGTCCCTGTGGCGCCGCATCTCTTTGGGACGGGTAGTGTGCCGGGGATGCTGCCCTGTTTTGCTTCGCAGGAAGGCAGCGAGCCTGCCAGGGAGAGAGCACTTGCCTCCCTGAAGCGTCTTCGCGAGCGCTGCCGCACTCTCCGGCGTCCAGGTCTGTGAGAGCATCGCCCACCCCAAAGTTCGGTCCCTGCCCCTCACCCTTTGCCCCCAGCTTGGATCCCCATGGGTGCAAGCGGGTCTGGGGACAGACAGGCTCAACCGGAGGATCAGAGTGGGGACTCGACCCCAAACGAGGGGCTCCGCAGGGTGCTCCCAACCCTGCCGGCCCCTCCGCCGCCTTCTTTACCTGCCCCCCCGGCTCCGCCTCGGGAGTGGCGTGACCTTAATCCGAAACGACCTTGAGAGGCAGCGGCAGCGGGGCGTGCGGGGCCGGGGGCGCCCCGCGGGGGCGGGGGACCGGGACCGGGGCCGGGGCCGGGGGAGGGCTCGCTGCCCGGGCGCTGCCGAGGGGCGGGCAGCCCCGGCTCCGTGCGGCTGCGGCGGCGGAGCACCGGCGGAGCGCAGCGGCAACGGAAAGCGGCAACGGAAAGCGGCAACGGAGCGGCAACGGAAAGCGGGTACGGAGCGGGCGTCCTGCGGAGGGGAGGGGGCGACGGCGGGTGCGGAACTGCGACCTCCAGGTTCTGGGAGCCCCCCTCTCGGGCTGCGGTGCCCCGGAGCGGCTGCACGGTCGGGGCGGCGCGGGACAGAAGTGCCGGCGATTTTTTCTCCTTTGCCATAAGGTGTGATTTGTCCCCTGAACTCCAAATTCCTTGGGATTTGCCGCCCCATCCCTCAGCCCCTCGTCTGTTCCCCTTCTGCCCCCGTCAGCTGGCGGCTGAGCAAAGCTCTCGGACAAGGGCAGTTTATAAGCGCACCGGGACAGCGAGGTGCGGGGGTGCCTGAAGGGGAGTGAGGGGTCATCCTTCCCTGTTCTGGCACGCTCACCCGTACGGTGGCATTTTATTCTGCCCGGCTGCTCTGCACTGGAGCGGCTGGGGACCGCTCACACTCACTGTCCCTCCAGCTCTGCTGGGGCCTGTCACCACCAGGAGAGACGCTGCGATGGCTCAGAGTGTGCTGGGGTAGCTGGGGCTGTTCTGGCAGCAGGCAGCTGCCCTGCGGGAAACTCTCGGGTTGGGTTTCTCCATAGCCTGGCTCTCCTCCCGCTTGGCTCGACAATGTAATTCAGACTGGGGCAAGGGGGCCTGCATGGGGCCAGGCTGTGAGGGGCTCATGGCATCCCTCACACAACAGGAGAGAGAAGAGCAGATGTGTCCTTGCATCCACATGCTCTTCCTTGTGCTTTCTCGTGGTTCCTTGGATTGGAAGGGGGCATCCCTTCTTTGCTGCCCTTATGGGGAAGGCACTGCTCCATGGTTGGGACTGGCAATGCTTGGGCCGTGCTGGGAGCCTGGAAGGGCTGGCACTGGGGGAGAAACTTAGCTCCAAACTCTCAGTGTGGTTAATGGGCCCAAGGGCTACAAGCTGCCCCTTTGCATGCTGCCACCTTGTACACATGCATGGCAGGGTGCCAAGAGGACGATAGAACTGTTGGTGGCACTGAGCCCATCTTTGTCCCAGTCCAGCATGTCTCCCTGCGTCTCCAGTTCTGGTGCCGCCCCAGCTTCCCTAAGACATGCCCATCTCCCTCATCTGCTGTGGCACAGGGGCTGCAGAGCTGGTGAGCACCTGGAGCTAGGGCCCTGTGAAGTGTCTGTGCCAGGCTGGGTGCTGCTGGAAAGCAGGAGAGTGCTGGCAGATGTGGGACTGGGGTTGTCCCCCCTGGTTCCCTGAGGGCCATGGGGTGCAGGGGCTGAGAGCACACTGTGGAGGGTGGATGTGGGGCACTCCTGGAGCTGTGCTAGCCAGCATCAGGGCACTGATTCTGAAGGGCACAAGAGGAAGACAGGGCTGCCCCCCATTTCTGGGTGCAGGCACTCCAAGTCCTGGGCCACTGGGTCAGTGCTCTGTGGGTTGGTTGTGGGGGGATACAGGCACTGCAGCAAGTCCTTGCAGTCTGAGCCTTGCAAGAAGGACCAGTGTTGGGAAAGCACAGCCCCAGCACTGGGCACACTACTGGAAGGCATTTGGGATGGCACCCCAGCTACTCCATGTCTCCAGCAACATGTGAGGTCTCCAAGGGTGGACAGACAATCCCTGTGTGCCCTGGGGACAGTCAAATAGCCACGACTAGGGCATCTCACAAGAGCAAAGCCACAGCCTGGCCAGTGCTGTTCTGCCCTGCTGAGCCACACGGAGCAGGGGGTGGCTGCTGTCTGGCCTGAGAGCCCACAGGGGTCTGGCAGCTGGGCTTGGCAGCTGCCTGCACGCTGACAGCACCGGCTATTCCCAGCCCTGTGTGACCTGTGCCTGTGCTGAGTCAGGGACCCAGGGCACAGCTGCCACCCCTGCACCCTGGCACAGAGCCCTTTGCTCCCAGGGACCCTGGGTCCCCTGCTGCACCCAAACCCCAGCTCACCAGCTGCGGCATCCGCTCCTCCAGGGCCCAGCTCCAGCACCTGGGTGACAGGCACATCCAGTGATTTGTCAGCATAATTAAAGTCTCAACAGCCTAATCAAAGTCTCATTGTCCAGTAGTATTTATAGACACACTCACTGCCATGTGCTCCCTTACAGCTGCCGGTGCAGTCACTGCCTGGGGTGCTGCTATTCCCTGGGCAGAATAAGCTGTAGGAGCTGAGGGTCATTGCTCTGTGTTCTCTTCCTTGCTATCACAACTGTGCTTTTCCTTTACTTTCAAATTTACTGATTGGGGTTGTTTGCTAGGTGGTGGGGGTGTCCTTGGGCACTGCCAGAGCAGTTTTTCCTGGTTTCAGGCACTGCTTCTTACCTGGGAGCGGCAGCCTGGGAGAAGCAGGGCTCCAGTACCCGCTGGGCTGTGGGGCATCAGTGCTGGCAAGTTTTTCTGTTTTCCACCAACACCTTTTGAGCTCCGGCTTCCCGGTAACACAGATTAATATTTCATGAGTGTGGCGATGTGAACTCGACACTTAAGGAATGCAATGACCCAGCAGGAGACAGACACAGGTGCGCTCAGACGTGGGCAGGGGCGCACACACCTCGCACACACGTGGGTATGGCTGGAGCCCACTCGGGGGGACCTGGGCACAGCACAAGGGTCTGACCTTGCTTCCCCCAGCCACCTTCTCTCTTCCCTCCCCAGCAGCTGCCAGCGTGGAGAAGGCAGAGCCATGGCATCGCTGCCGTGCAACGCCCGTGAGTGCCCCAGCGGAGGATGGGTGCAGGGCAGGGCATTGGGCCATCTGGATTTACGCCGAGGCAAATCTGGCTTCTGGGTAGAGCTCACCGTGCTGCACTCAGAAGCATCCCTACCCCACTGTGGCCACTGGGATTTGGGCTTGGAAGCACCAAGGGTGGATGGGAAGGGTTGATGGGGAATTACCCTGTGCACCTCCTGTGGTGGAGGGAGTTTGTTTCTGGTTCATCCCTCCTTCCTCACGGATTGAGGGACTATGTGTGACCCCAGAGGTGAGAGGAAGCAAAGTACAGGGCGCAGTGCCTGGTTACCCCCACCCTCAGTGATGCAGCCCATGCTGCCCCCAGGCATCCAGCTCACAGACACGCTGGAGCAGATGCAACAGGGGACTCTGATGCGCAAAGTCAAGTCCAAGAGCTGGAAGAAGCAGCGTTACTTCAAGCTGCAGGAAGACTGCATGACCATCTGGTACCAGTCCAAGAGGACAGGCAAAACTGAGTCTGCCTGTGAGTACCAGCTGTTTTGTGTTATCAGTAGGTTTCAGAGTAAACAGGGGATGTGAAGGTTTGGAGATTCTTGGGCCATGCTTGCTAAAGGTGCTGGGGGATTGAAGAAAGGCTCTGCATGCATGTGTGATCTCTTCTCACCCACACCTCTCCATGAAACATCCTGCCCCCAGCAGGACCTATGAGTCAAAAGGGCTGGGTAGAAATTGCAGCGGATCCAAATAGAACCTCTGGAATGCCAGCACAGGAGTAAGCAGACAGAGGGGCAGATGGATGACTGGCTGACTTGATACTTTAGCGGTTAATGGATAGATAACTAGCTCAGGGGATGGATGAATGGATGAATGGATGGATGGATGGATGGATGGATGGAGTGGAAGAAGGAATGACTGGAAGATGTCTGTGGGCGGTGCCCCTTGCCCTGTGGTCCTTGTCTCCTGCAGACAGGCCTGCCCTCCCTCTGCCCCAGTCTCCATCAGCGATGTGGAGACGGTGCGGGAAGGGCACCAGTCAGAGGTGCTGCAGAGCGTGGCTGAGGAGTTCCCCCCCGAGCGCTGCTTCAC